CCAAACAGTCGGATTTGACTTTCTAACCATATCTAATGTTTCCTCATGTTTTAACCCTTCAACTGTTAGGGAGAGGGTAGATCTGTCTCCCCACCCAAGGATTTTTTTATAACTTTTCGAAGTTTGTCTTTTGATCCGAAATTTTCCGGTTTTTCTTAAAATTGAATCAGACATGTTTTAGTGAAAACATGGTACGAGTGCTGGTCTTCTAGCAAATTGGATTCAATTACGCGAACCTAAGACTGGCAAGTGTTCAGACAATAGGACTATAGAGTATGGGGATATGCAAATCAAAATCGAATAGTAGTCATAGCTACTTTGTTGTGATGACATATCGATTCCATTTGGTTATTACATAGCAATTTGAAATTGTTGTACTCGTATTTTCAAAGTAATGAGAATTGTCGTACAAATGTCAATTGAGAGAATTAGGGCATAACAGCTAGGGTCATTTCTTTGGGAACATGTATGGGGGTAAATATTTGGAGGGAGGGAGGCAGATTATAAATGCAAAATTACTCCAGAGGCTGGGTTCAGGCCAAAAGTTCCAGAGTTTTTGGGAGGGCAGTAAATTCTTCCATACCGTACCGTATCCATGCGTTTCTAAGAAGCATTCAGTATAAGGTCAAACCTGACATAAGTAAGGGGCATTTTATACTTATATCGAAACATTTTAATCTGCAACTTACACTCATACACATAGTTATCAACATACATGTACGTGTACGTATCGGTATAAGTAGAATAAAAAATATGTATTACTAAACCATTCTTGTGTTTTCTACAAAAAACATAATTTAGGTGCGGCCTTGTGTATACTTTATGAACGTTTTGCATTGTTTTGTACACCTACACCAGAAGTCTAGATACATCATAGTCTTATCCTATGCCCAGTAGAGTTTTAGGGAAATAAGTTTATAAGATATATCCCATATCCTGATTTTGAGGTTTCCATATCCAGAACCTCCATATCTCCCGCTCCATGGCATATCTTCCCGCTTTGAAAAAAATTGAAAAAGAGAATTTTTGAAAATAAATTTGAAAAACAATAATTTTATTTTGAAAAAAAATCTTGAAAAATCTTGGGAAAAAAATATGAAAAAAATTCTACTGGTTATAGGATAAAGCAGTTATGTACGGTTGGTTTGGATATGGGGTTTATACCTCGTGAGATATGCACATCTACATTTGGTCCCCGTGGTCCCTTAGGTAAATATGCGTATCTCCCTTTGGATAAACCCCATATCCAAACCCTCCCAGTACATAACCCTTATATGTGCAGTTTTATAATAAAATATTTCGATTGAAAATGTTCATCCCTAAAACCTTTTTGGCAAAATTTCTTAACTACATGTTCCTTGACAAGGTCGGACGAACGGACATATGAAGTAGAATGGACACAGAAACACCCCGTGATGAAAATGAGGCGACAATTGAATGTGCAATTTAGCAACGTATAACACATGAGACCCATTTTGTTTCCATCAAGCAATGAAATGAAAATACCAAATTTTGAGAATGTCACACAAATAATACCCCAAGTGTCTGAGCTTAGTAGATGAATGGTTCAGGGTTGATACCTAATTGGACGACTTTATCTTTATTGAGTAATAAGCACAAGTATTGTCACTGTACGATCCATCTTTAAAATATGAAACAATTCGATGATTTAGTTGATTTACACAACCCATGGTATTTTCTTGTGAAACAATGCTACATGTAATCTATTATGAGTAAAAATTTACATTTTTATCAAGGAGGATCGGCTCCCAAAGTGCAATATCGATATTTTTGCCATATATCACGGTGCCCATGTCAAGCTGCGCGCCTACTTAGGCGCGCAGTTTGTTTCGATCACAAACTGCGTGCCTAAGAACATTGGATCATTTAAGTTGGAGTCTGTATTTTGAAACGTTATTTAAAGACATTTATCCTGCATTGTTTTCTTGTTCAATGCGTTCATTCTGTGGCGAATATACGAATCTTGCAAATACTAGCAAAAACTGTATGCAAATGAATCTTAGTTTTAAAACATAAGCAGATTAATGGCATTTTCGTCACTGATTTAATGGGAATTTATACGTAAATCGATCTAGCACTTTAAACATAAATGACAAATACTTTAGTCTCGTTTTATATTTAATTCCTTACACTTTTATCATGTTTAATTCAAAATATTTCGAAATAAAACAGATCATCAGGAGATTAAAAAGAAATAAACCACAAACTGCGCGCCTATTTTAGCCAGAAATTACAATCTGTGCGCATACACTATTAAAACTACATATTATCATTGGAATTTCTACAGAGGTACGTGTAGGTGTTTTCGATGTAGCTTTGGAAATTTTGCTTTATCGTCAGATTTTATGAGATTTTCATATTGAAAGTCAAAATGTATAATAGAAGTGACAATTAAGTTGGGAACGAAAAAAACATTTATTTTCAGATCACCATCTTGGTGGATGGACTCTCATAGTGTTTCAATTATGGGGTTCTACTATAAGACACATATGTGCCTTGTATGGCGCTTATGTTTTCTAATAATACAAAACAAGCTTGGATAGGCAAGCAGTTTTGAAATATTAGGCACGCAGTTTGGAAAATACATGTGAATATAGGCGCGCAGTTTGACAAGAAAAATGTTTAAATCACGTTTATGGCGTATTATCGTTTTGAACACAAACTTTGCTGTTTTAATCAGATGGAGTGATCCTATATATTCTAGCATACACAGACACAATGGCTGAATAAACGGCAAATGACGATAAAAAGACATAGATATAACTTTACACTGTAAATTTTGAACACAGAAGTTACTTAAGACCCTTATATTGAGATAACTAGGTTTACATCGGGAAAAACATTGAGTACTATGAGTAAATTAAGTTCATCTCCACAGAATGGTACTATCTTTAGAACGAGACTAACCTTGTATTTTTCGTATTTTGGCTCTTTTTGGGAGTCGTGTCCTCCCCGTCTCACATTTTGAAATATGCGCGCAGTTTGTCAGAGTTTCAAACTGCGTGCCTAGTAGGCACGCTGCTTGACATGGGCATCGTGTATATGGGCATGTCGTGATTACAAAATTCGAATTCAAACAGCCGCCATTTTGTTCACTTCAACATTTGAATAAATTTTGGTCTTATTTCTAAACGAAAAATGCTAAAATTTACAAGAAATGATCGAGATATCGGTTCGAAACTTTTGGAATGTTTATTTTGAATTTATAGACGGTTATAATTTCAGAAAATAACGATCTTTCGACGTTTTCATTGTTGGGAAATATCGAGTTTTGATCCTCGGAGCCAATCCTCCTTGATTTTTACAATTATTGTGCACCAATATAATAATGACTGCCTATTGGCTAAAACCTATTCTGCACCCCAGTTCCAATAAATATTTTCTGGAATATAATATATACAGCGGAATAATATATACAAAGGGATTGTGTATTATGTTTGGGCAAGCATGATTAAAGGTTCAAGAGTGACTCAATAGAGACCACTGAAAATAGTACACATCAATATACACTCCCCTCCATAAGTTTGGCAACCTAAGCTGATTTTCTTAGTGATTTTATTCCAAGACTAAAACCGGTGGATTTACACTCGCTTGTAAAACGTTTTAACGCTAAGACGTCTTGGCTATGACTATGGTCCTAAAACGTTTTAGCTAAGCGCTCTTAGCCGAAAACTCTCGAGTAAATCTGGGCCCTCAATGATAAAATGGTATAACCATTGTGACATGATGTTACCCTGACAACGGTATGTTAACATGGTGACCTTATGTTGCCCTAGCTACGTGATATTACCAAGTGTTTGGGTTTAACTATGCAATTCACTGTCTGATGGGGTGTTGTTACAGACATTTACATATAAAGATCTAGAAACTAGACCATATCTTTCTGAAACGATGAAAACATCAGTTTATTTAAATTTCATCACCCTCGTGTTAATACCTTCTCTCGAGTGTTCAACTGTCACGCTTAATTTGGTACCCAGGCCCGAACCCCCTGGCTACGGGCCTAGGTATTTTGACAAAATGATCAGGCACTTGTCAAAATACTGTTTAAACATGATATTCCATTGAAAGCCTTTACATATACTTATTTTATCTATTCCATATTACTTATAAGGAACGAGAGGATGGAACGGAACTTCGGAGCGAGTTAACTAGGGTCCAAGTTGTTCAACAAGTTAAACCCAATACCACGGCTTTCATTTATTAATCTGAAGTTCTTTTGCGGGCCACAAGAAATGTCAGATAAGAAATAAGGCCCAGACTAGGTTTAACTTGTTGAACTAGGGTCCAAGTTGACTAGGGTCCGAGTTAACTAGGGTCCGAGTTGATTAGGAACCTGTTTATTTCCATGTTCAATATCAAATACCCATTTAATTTTAAAATCGATTTTAAGTCAGGCATTGAAAGTTCACCTTTAGAAAAGGCATTCATTTAGACAAATCGTTTAATTTAGTCTCTTCTTCCATCCAAAAAGAATGAATAAAAGCCCCAAAGTGATTTCTTTCAAAAAAGTGTATTATTTTTACTCAGTTACTTATATCGATCCAAATGCACGTGCTCTGTTTTCGCTTTACCTCGCAAAGTAAATTGTTTTGCAAAGAATTATTTATAGTCACAATTTTAAAACTATAAATAGATGTAACCATATTGTAAGGGATATTTTACCTGGATACACTTATTTGATGTGCCGCTATTATAAAAGTGTAAGTCCAATTAAATAAATAAGAACAGCATAGAAATAAAAACGGAATGCCATTTTATTAAAGTGGATTTTATCCTAATACACGGTGTAATTATTTATAATTATTTCAGGGAATTCTGGAGTTTTTCCTCCTTTCATGTTGTACAGTGTAACTTTTGTGAATGGACATTTCCATATTGGTACCGTGTGCAAAGCGAGATTTAATCTGGTTTGAAAATATTTAATATTAAGTTTAAACTGAACTGTTCAAAGTTTGACCTAAGTAGGGACTTCTAAAATGGAATTTCACAGTCTAAAAGCTAATGAGGATAAAATACTAATTATAGGAAATAAAAGGTAAGATTTACTGTATTTTCAAATAGAATGCATAAATAATATTGGGAAATAATAATGAGTTTTGATGAATTTGACAAGCATTGTGTTTTCTTGTTTTTAAATGCAAAGCAAAACATGTGATGTTGTGCCATCTAACTGTAATAACGCTTTTGTATACCAATACATAGAATAATTATGTCACATAGGCCATTCTGATAATTTGCTCTTCTAGAGAAGTAAATTTCTTAATGTATTGTTTATTTTTGATGATTTGGATATTTGTTATTTTATATTAAATTATGAAGTTTATTTCAGTCGTTTATTTCAGTCAATGTTAACAAAATTGTTCCCAACCGGGGAAATGGTTAACCTGGTTTAAAATAACATATCGATTTATGCAATGTATATGTTGGCCATGGACGTGAATACAGACATTTGAATCCGTCTCAAGCATTGGCCTTTGAAGCAAATGAAATACATCAAATAGATTTAAGCCCATGCCAATGACCGAAAGCCAAACTTGATTATATAAGAGACATTAATTGTATTCATGTGTAGCAGCCAAGTAAGTGTTTGATATGTATACACTATACACATAGAGACTTATGTAAACTTGAAAAGAAATAGAATGAACTGTAACTGAACTTTGCATACTAAAATATAGTTCAGTACGAAAATGCCATCGAAGCAAAGAACCGGAGAGAACCACGGAAAGTATCTCATACTGTGTCCTGATGGTTTGAACATGTGCATATGTTAGGCCAATGCATTAACTCCTGGACAAACACTCTTGGAGATGATGAAAAATCGGACTTTGAGACAGGGAAGGTGCAAGCAACCCACCAATATGTTTTTTAATTGTTATCCTTATTTTCAGCCCTTTCTACACCTTTTGTCAATGTTTGATGCATCAATATGCTGCGTTTTGAGACAAAGTTAATCTTATTAAAGAAAAAAACGGATAAGAATTCTTAGATGGGTAACTTCAGGGAAACAAAACACCATGACAAAGGGGTGCCGGTGCTCTCAAACTTTTAAATGGATTTGTGCACATCTTGAAAAGTCAAGTGATGTGCTATACTTTGAACTGAATAACAATTTTTTAGATAGAGGGGTGAGATAAAGGTTAAACACAAATTCATGTTCATTAAATGATACCAGATTTGAATCAGTTGTGTATCTTGATCCCCTTCTGGATAATTTATAAAATCATTTAAAACGTTTATTGAACTACAGAATAGTTTTCAACAATATTAAAATAGGTATAGGAAATAAGGAAAAGAAAAAAAGTGAGACATACTTTAGCAAAAAATTGATATGTTTCTTCAGCTTCAACAAAGTTATAGGGCTTTAAAGTCAAAATTGTTTTTCAAAAAACCTCTCCCATTGAAATAACACAGGAGGCGAAAAATTATTTTAAATCATGACTTTGAAGCGCTGTAACTTTTTTTATTCATCATATAAACTAAACACTTAGTGTTAAAAAAAGTTAGACAATTCAATTTTCTATATAAAAGTATTTTTTGCTGAATCTTTTACTGAAAAGATATCCTGATTTCTGATTTGCCCCGAACCCTCCATTTCCCATTGGATTACATGGGAATAACGATTTTCAAAAATTCATCAAATTTATCATCAACTTTCGACCTATTGTAATTGAGGAAAAAAATTGAGAAAATTTGGAGGTATTGGAAATAAAGTCAAGTTACGTTTCCATCAATATTCTAAGTTATTTCATCGCCGGTTAAGTAAATACAAATTCAAACGTAAAGAGGCTTTAACACGTAGTTCAATGGGAAAAAAAGGTTGCCAAACTTATGGAGGGGAGTGTATGTATATGGAATTATGAAATGTTTGAAATTACTTAGGCAAAATAAAATTATCTGTTCAATTTAAAGAAAGGATATTTCAATGTTTATAATGTTATACTTTGGCGTCATCTGGAATCTCCCCGACCCAGAAATCACTTTTCAATGAAAAATTAATAAACAATATTTAACATTTCATTTATAAATGTTATTTTGTATGGACAGGGTGTCCCGAAAGTGATTGGCCAAAATTAAAGTTCAATTCAGTATCCTTGACACAAGTCTGACCAAAATGTTACTTTATGTATAAATAATAGATTTCAAATATGATATTGATGAAGATTTAATGATCTTAAAAAGAAGCTTATTTCTAATTATCTTAATAAATGTTCTTTCAGGGCAACCTACAACAGTATAGACTCCAGAAATGCTTCGAGTGGTAAGTTTTTAAAAGAGTCACATAATATCAGGCCCTGGCCAAAACATACAAAGGACCAGGTATGGTATGACAAATGATTTTAGACAGTCATATTTTTGACCTTAATTTGAGTATTTATTATCATACATTAAACTTGTCTAGTCAAAATAATACGTTTTCCTCCAATTGAAGTCCCCAGGATAATAAAATTATCAATTCTACTATCTGAAAAAACATCAGTTAGGAGCCTACTTCAAAATATTTTGTAAATTATTTAATTTATTTCCTAAAGAATTATCTTGCTTGATAAATTGTATCAATTTACACATACAGAACATGCTCAAAATCATGAGTTGTTTTCATTCTATATTATAGTCCTTTATATAGACCTATATTCTAGGTTAAAACTTTAAAACTATTTCTACTTCTAGTTGCCCATTGCCATGCCAACAAGCCAGCCAATGTGATTGATAAAAAAGCAAGACGGCAACTAATTTTAGCATCCGTACTATGTTTTGCCTTTATTATTGGAGAGATTGTCGGTAAGTGTAAAGACATCCAATCCCATTCATGCTTTTTATATATCTTTTTGTGTTTTTTTTTCATTCACACATTTCCCTTATGGGCATAGGACTTTTGTTCAGGAAGACATTTTCAAAATGCCAACCATTTTTCATAGAAATGTAATCTTTGATGACTCAAATATCAATTGCTTGAGAGATTTAGTTCAAATTTCATATGTTGATGCCTTAGGAACAACTCTGCTTAAGGAGGAATCTTCAATATGGCTACTGAATTTTGTGAAATGTTGTAATTTTAGATAACACCCCTATCACACCAAACTAGTTCTTACCCGTTCTTGCCAGTCCTACGAAAACGTCGTAAAACGGGCTCAATCTGGCTGTGGTCGGGAAATATGTCTGAAATAATTAGCTACTTCGTTCATAAACAGTCTTCAATACGTCCATCTCGTTCGCAGTTCGTTCAGGTCGCACCACGTCGGTGTGCAAAGTCGTAGAACGCGTCCCTTAGTCTAGAAGGTCAACATAACCTGATTACAGAACGGTATGGTCGCCATCGAATTTTGAATCGATTCAAAATTCTAAAATCACATTCCCGTCTGAGAACGTTCATAAAGTTCGTAAATAGACCTTAGAAAGTTGCAACTACGTTCATTCCGTTCGCACACAGTTTCAAACCAGTTTTGAAGAACGCAGTGGCAACTTGTTTGGTGTGATAGCTATATTTTTGCTAACTCGTTCATAAGCAGTGTTAAATACGTTCTTAATCAGTTTAAACCCGTTTGCAATTAGTTCTAACTCGTTCTCAACACGTCCTCAGACAGTTCAACTCGTTGTTAAAACGTCCCTAGTAGGATTGAAGTACGACGGTTCCATTCGTAGTACGTCCAGCTCGTCGTCAGTACGTTGTCACTCGTTCTAATTGTAGAACGTGACGACCACGAGAACATTTTGAGCATTGTCTAAGGTCTAGAGGACCTACCCGTTGGAGTACGTTCGATGAAGTTTGTGAATAGATCCCAAACGGTTCTTAGTAGGTCCAGTCCGTTCGTCACAGTTGAAGCCCGTTTTCGAGAACGTAGTGAGAACTAGTTTGGTGTGATAGTAGGGTTACTAAGTTATTGGTCTAGATTCTATAGGCCATTGCCTTCTTAGCATAGGACCTATGGCCAATGAATTTAATATTATATGGTGTGACATCACGTTATGGATGTACATTTTGCCAAAAGTATCACAAGTGATTTGATAAAATTTTGTCCAGTGGGATTTGCTAGTACAGGGAGTTTCTGTATCGTCAGTTCCTACGCTCAATCACTACGTTCTATCCCAAGAGGACAGGTCCGAAGCTTCATGAAGCTGTTTTTCTAGTTATCCTCTATAATATTTTCAGGAGGGAACTTGGCTGGGTCCCTGGCAATCATGACAGACGCTGCACATTTGCTCACAGACTTTGCAAGTTTTATGATCAGTTTACTTTCCATCTATTTAGCTCGTAGACCAGCAACAAAACTGTTAAGTTTTGGCTGGCATCGTACAGGTATGTAATTTTTTTAAGGTTAGGTTTTATTTATTTGCAATAAGATGCAGTTAATCAGTATGTAATAAATGTAACAATGTAAATGTCCAATAAAATGAAGATTCATGGTTCGATACTAAATCATTTATTTTATTTTCATTATGCTGTGAATATTACCATGTTGTTGTAGCCATTTTATAAGGCCATAAATAAGTACCATAGGTGACTTCAATTAGTGGTATGAGCCCTGTGTCATGGGCTTTCCTTCCTTATTTCGTTATTAGGATCGCAATGGTAATATCCAAGTTAAGAAAAACAAATTGTTTGAGATACGGATTTTGGATATACATTTATATGTCTTAATCAAAATCAGAGTTTTCTTTACAATTATGACATAACAATATACAGGTACAGGTATTACAAAAAATTATATGATCCTGATAATTGGTGCAAATCAGTTAAATTTTGTAATTAAATATCAACCGATAAGTTTGTTTTAAAAACTTTTAAACATAACACATTAAGAATTAAAAGAAAATAGGTACAGTAAAACAGGTGTAAAAGGGTAGGAGGTCCTATCAAATTATGGTCCTACTCTTCATTGATTTATATGGTGACATAAATACAACTCTTTCCCTTATTATCGTATCCACAATCAGGGCCAGTAAGGGCCTTTCAGAAAAGGGACCATAATCCCCAGAGGACCATAATTTCTTTTACACCGGTATATTCAGACACCTCTCTAATCTAAACACCCCTAAGTGAGCACTTTTTTCGGGGATCGAGTCTTGGACCCGTTGACTCACAATTGAATATTAAGAAACATTAAAATGTAAAATGTGAACACCTGCTAGTTGGAACACTATCGCCGATAACTTTGGTGTACAGATTAAGATTTTGCTTAACTCTACTTAACTTTTCAGAAATAATTGGTGCCTTGGTGTCAGTGCTGCTTATCTGGGTTGTGACTGGGATATTAGTGTTCCTAGCTATAGAGCGAGTGCTTCACAATGACTATGAGATTAATGCAACCATTATGCTGATCACATCAGGTGTCGGAGTTGTTTTCAATTTTGTGTGAGTAATATTATGTTATGCCTTGGTCACATTTGCTCCGATTTTCACTACGGCGCCCGGCCGATTGAGTATTGTGTTCAGAAATGTATTCAATTTTGAACAAAATACTCAATCGGCCGATGAATCGCAGCAAATATGACCTAGGCATTACAGTTTCAAAGAAAGTAAGCGCATTTGCTGGTATGGTATTTCGTATGTTAATAAAATACTTCTTTAAAATTGAGTTTAATACAGTAAAGTGCAACCAAAAGTGCAGATCTTGTGTGCCTCGGGAGCCTTCTTAAAATGTCTCTCTTAATAACTGACTTTTGATAAATGAAATATAAAAAGAATGTGAAGTTTGAGGTGACAATGATATTGTCGATCTCCGTGTAGTGTTCATCATCGGTTCAAGCAAATTGCGTAATAGGGAAATGTTCATGGAAATATTAGCTTGACAGTCTGATTGTGTGGAAATTGAATCCATGAATTAGTGTAACGGAACATGTGAACATTCTAGCATGAAATGTTTTACAGTGCACAGATATACATGGAGAGTTGCTTGCTATATTTAATTACCCATGTTTCAGAATGGGTTGCGTACTTCACACTCCACAAAGTAATGAGGGAGTATACCAAAGTCTTGGGGGAGGAGACAACAGTCATGATGAATCAAGCTCTGCCGACTCAGAATCTGGGGAGCAAAATAAACATAGCAACGGCCATAATTCTACAAATGTAAATGTGCGAGCAGCATTTATTCATGTTATAGGCGATTTCATACAGAGTATTGGTGTAATGATAGCAGCTTTCATCATATATTTTAAGGTATGTCCACCCATTAATTGATCTCTTTAGAACATTAATTGTAACATGTAAACTGAGCCATGTTACATTTAAGTATTCAAGAAATTCCTCTTCTTAGAAATGACAATTCTGCTGTTATTAAGTTTTTTACAAATCAGCCAAAATGAGAAATAGCTGATCCTGTATTTTGTACATTTCTGTCATTTATTCTTACAATGTTTTCTCAAAAGATTAGTATCGATATGATGAACTTTTTTAACACACGTTTCTCTTAAACCATTCATCAAAAAATTCAAAAAACTTTACACATCGTCAATTTAATGATCATCTTTTGGATGGTAACATTATAATTTGAAATATGTATTTATACTTTTCTCTATATTGTTTTAGAAAACACATCGGACACTTCTTTTGTTCTTGTCCAAAGGATATTTTGGTTGATTTGAAAAAAGTATATTGTTAATGAAATAAAAGGTTTATCTTAATTTTCATCTAATTTGTGGGGTTTTGATTTAATTCTTTGAATACTTTGTATAACTATACTATTGAGAGGTCTAGGAAACTGTTATGCCATTTTGTTCCAACAAGGTTCGGAAAGTTATTTAATTTCATTCTCAAGAATTGGTAGAAATGAACAAAAAACAATTGCACTAAAAAACAAAAAATGTCAACAAAAACAGTTTTATAAAATACATATAAATAATTTTTGCATTAAATTGTTGTCAATCAGTCAACATTACACAAAGGACCGTGTTTTTACAGAATGTTTTCAATATAATTGTTTTAAAAGAAAAACATTGTTGAATTCAGTTCACCATATTGATACATATCCTTTCCACCTGTTCTCGTCTTATATTTTTTAAATTTCAGCCCGAATGGAAAATAGCAGATCCGATATGTACATTCTCATTCTCGGTTCTGGTGCTGTTCACAACAGTTACGATTCTCAAGGATATTATAAGGGTTATAATGGAAGGTAATTAATATTTGATATACAAGATTTGTATACAAGGTCGTTCAATAACTTCTTGGAGAAATGCTGTTACTTTAAGGATTCTTAATTTTTCTCATGACATTTTCAATGATTGATCCGTTCTTGTTTGGTCTTCTCTTCAAGGACACAACTCTGATCTGTGAAAGCTTCTCCTCTTTGGAATTCCTCATGTGTTTGATGATGATATTAACAATGAAATACACTGCATTCTGATTTCAGCCACTCCATCTGGTATACACTACAATAAAGTAAAGGATTGCTTGTTTGAGATTAAAGGTGTTAAAGATGTTCATAATATCAGACTATGGTGTCTTACCATGAGCAAAGTTGTCTTGTCATGTCATATTGCAATAGGTAAGTACGTGGCTTGTGCCATTTTTGGCAGAAGTCGTGACTATACACTTTCGAAATCAGTAATTCTTACCATTTCTTCTTAGTTTTTGCAATGTAATTCTTTAATTTGCAACCAGGTGGTAGTATTTTGTCATGTGATGTTTGCGATGCTTTGATCATATTTTCTAGACTAATGTAGAGTCAGTTGTCAGTCACAAAGTATCTACTCAGTTTATCTTTTAATTGCATCTATAGTAAGGTAGCTCCTTCAATGTTTTGCATTATATCTGTTAACCTTTACTCTTCAATGTTTTGCATTATTTTTGTTAACCTTTACTCTTCAATGTTTTGCATTATATCTGTTAACTTTTACTCTTCAATGTTTTGCATTATATCTGTTAACCTTTACTCTTCAATGTTTTGCATTATATCTGTTAAACTTTACTCTTCAATGTTTTGCATTATATCTGTTAACCTTTACTCTTCTATGTTTTGCATTATTTCTGTTAACCTTTACTCTTCAATGTTTTGCATTATTTCTGTTAACTTTTACTCTTCAATGTTTTGCATTATATCTGTTAACCTTTACTCTTCGATGTTTTGCATTATATCTGTTAACCTTTACTCTTCAATGTTTTGCATTATATCTGTTAACCTTTACTCTTCAATGTTTTGCATTATATCTGTTAACCTTTACTCTTCAATGTTTTGCATTATTTCTGTTAACCTTTACTCTTCAATGTTTTGCATTATTTCTGTTAATCTTTACTCTTCAATGTTTTGCATTATATCTGTTAACCTTTACTCTTCAATGTTTTGCATTATTTCTGTTAACCTTTACTCTTCAATGTTTTGCATTATTTCTGTTAACCTTTACTCTTCAATGTTTTGCATTATTTCTGTTAACTTTACTCTTCAATGTTTTGCATTATATCTGTTAACCTTTACTCTTCAATGTTTTGCATTATATCTGTTAACCTTTACTCTTCAATGTTTTGAATTATTTCTGTAAACCTTTACTCTTCAATGTTTTGCATTATTTCTGTTAACCTTTACTCTTCAATGTTTTGCATTATTTCTGTTAATCTTTACTCTTCAATGTTTTGCATTATATCTGTTAACCTTTACTCTTCAATGTTTTGCATTATATCTGTTAACCTTTACTCTTCAATGTTTTGCATTATATCTGTTAACCTTTACGCCTCAATGTTTTGCATTATTTCTGTTAACCTTTACTCTTCAATGTTTTGCATTATATCTGTTAACCTTTACTCCTCAATGTTTTGCATTATTTCTGTTAACCTTTACTCTTCAATGTTTTGCATTATTTCTGTTAACCTTTACTCTTCAATTTTTGCATTATTTCTGTTAACCTTTACTCTTCAATGTTTTGCATTATTTCTGTTAACCTTTACTCTTCAATGTTTTGCATTATTTCTGTTAACCTTTACTCTTCAATGTTTTGCATTATATCTGTTAACCTTTACTCTTCAATGTTTTGCATTATATCTGTTAACCTTTACTCTTCAATGTTTTGCATTATATCTGTTAACCTTTACTCTTCAATGTTTTGCATTATTTCTGTTAACCTTTACTCTTCAATGTTTTGCATTATATCTGTTAACCTTTACTTTTCAACTATTTTGCATTATATCTGTCAACCTTTATTCTTCAATTTTTGCATTATATCTGTTAACCTTTATTCTTCAATTTTTGCATTATATCTGTTAACCTTTATTCTTTTCAGATAAAACTGTATGTGCACAGGACATGTTAGAAAAAGCTTCAGAGTTGATATATAGCAGATTTGGAATATATGAGTGCACAATGCAAATAGAGAACTATGTAGATGATATGGAACACTGTACAGACTGTAAAGACCCAAAGGATTAAATACTGCTCTTTTAGTGAAGTGTAATATGATATGGGCAGTGTTAAAGATGCCCAGTCTTTTACCATTGCCAAATCAGCAATTGTATATGGCAATTAGCAATTGAAGGTGAAGCACACCAATTGTATATGGCGATTAGCAATTGAAGGTGAAGCACACCCATTGTATATGGCGATTAGCAATTGAAGGTGAAGCACACCAATTGTATATGGCGATTAGCAATTGAAGGTGAAGCACACCAATTGTATATGGCGATTAGCAATTGAAGGTGAAGCACACCAATTGTATATGGCGATTAGCAATTGAAGGTGAAGCACATCAATTGTATATGGCAATTAGCAATTGAAGGTGCTTCTTAGTAATTACATATACTTAATTACCTACTGTTGAATCTACTGATATAAATGAATAAACAAAAAAACAAAACAATTCTGCTATCCGCACAGGTGGTAAAGATATAGGTCTCAAACTATTATATTTATTATATATATATATATTTTTTTTTATTATATAGCATATCTGTCTACAGGAGATACAGTGATGTATATATTGCTCTTTAGAGAGTAAAATGGCTGCAATGTAATCTCACAGCATGCCCAGATTTAAGTATACTCTTGCATTTCTAAAAAATTCAATTAGAACCAGGTTAGGCAGTTTTCCCAAGGGCTTATATTCCGGGTATTACGTTCGCCCTGTTGGTTTTCCTGGACTTTTGAAGACCAAATTTAAGTTATGCCTGCTCGTCCCAACAAAGGTATGTCCACCATCACAAGATGACAACAACATTGGGCAATAAAAAGGGCATTTTCAAAGGGCAATAAAAAGAGCATTTTCAAAGGGCAATAAAAAGGGCATTTTCAAAGGGCAATAAGAAGGGCATTTTCAAAAGGCAATAAAAAGGGCATTTTCAAAGGCAATAAAAAGAGCATTTTCAAAGGGCAATAAAAAGTGCATTTTCAAAGGGCAATAAAAAGCTCCAACAGAACACAATCATTTCTCTCATCTACAAATTACACTTTATTTACTAAACACACATAAATTAATGTAAATATATATATATATTAACTTATTTGACAGAAAAATATTGATTCCCTTTGACACGTGGATGATAGACACTATATACAGCTATACAGTACTTATGGATTTTCTGTACAAAGTAAAATACAGATAGGTATATGTCCAGTACACTGTACAATATTTTGGTAAAATAATGAAATAATAGTAATGGTCAATCTATACACAATGTATGTATTATACGACATCATATGAGAAGAGCCACTACACCTCACATTATTGTAACATTTCATGTGACCCCTCACTTAATCATAATAATTCACATGATGTGACACAACTATTCACATGATGTGACACAACTATTCACATAATGTGACACAACTATTCACATGATGTGACACAACAACAGGGTGACACAAAAATGACACCCCTTTACATTACATAACTTGTTTGTCTATTAACATATAGCCTAGACATGTTCTTTAGCACATTTTTAAGTGGACATAATGCGAAAGCACCTCGCGAAATTTCACATGTGTAGTTCAAGTGCGTCATATTTTTGTGAGCGTTACAACCTTTGCTCTAAATGTCGTCCATTCCTTTGCAGAAACACATGGATTCTACACAAAAATGCCACCCACCTTTTGTAACATAACTTTGTGAATACTAATGATTTTGGCTTGTACTTTCAGGGAAATGAGGTCCATACAATTAAACAGAAAATAATGTAGTTGTTGTTGATAAAATCATTATTTTTACTTATTTCCAAAATTATGTTACAACAAGACACACAGTGATAAATATCGCACTTTGAAGAGCAAACTGGCCACCATGCAATTTACCAAGCATGGCCAAAACCTAATCAGACCTTGGCACTAGTCTGCTCTTGCATCTGTAAACATTTCAAGTTGACAAGGTTAGCGGTTTTCCTGCAATTTTGATGACAAGAATTTATTTGTAGTCTTGAACTTTGGGAAAATGTAGATAACATTGTTTGTGACCTAATTTGATGACCTTCGACCTTGAAAATTTCACTTTTTCAGACCTCAGTAGGTCTTTTGTAATTAGCTGACCTAAATTTAAATCCAAAATATCAATTTAGAAAATCAAATTTTTGACCTTTTCAAGGCCACTGAAGGTCAACGAAAGGTCAAATCTGAAATCTAAGGTCAGATTTGAACTTTTGAGAACTTGTAGATGTTTTTTAAAAAAAAATTTGGTCAATTTGGAGCAAGTTGAAAAATTCAAAATGGCCGCCAAATTGAAAAATTCAAAATGGCCACCATGTAATTCAGCCAGCATACCCAAAACCTAATCAGATCTTGGCAATAGTCTGTTCTTGCATCTGTAAAAATTTTAAGTTGAACGGATAAGTGGTTTTCCTGGAATTTTGATGACAAGATTTGTTGAAAAATTCAAAATGGCCACCACGTAGTTTACCCAGCATTCCCTTAACCTAATCAGATCTTGGCACTAGTCTGCTATTGCATGTGTAAAAATTTCAAGTTGAACAGGTTAGCGGTTTTCTTGGAATTTTGATGACAAGAATTGATTTGTAGTCTCAAACTTTGAGAAACTTGGATAACATCATTTGTGACCTAGTTTAATGACCTTGACTTTCGACCTTGGAAATTTCACTTTTTCAGACCTCAGTAGGTGTTTTGTAATTAAGCTGACCTAAATTTAAATCCAAAATATCAATTTAGAAAATCAACTTTTTTGAACTTTTCAAGGTCACTGAAGGTGAATGAAAGGTCAAATCTGAAATCTAAGGTCAGATTTGAACTTCTGAGAACTTGTAGATGTTTTTAAAAAAAAAATTTGGTCAATTTGGAGCAAGTTGAAAAATTCAAAATGGCCGCCAAATTCAAAAATTCAAAATGGCCACCATGTAATTCAGCCAGCATACCCAAAACCTAATCAGATCTTGGCAATAGTCTGCTCTTGCATCTGTAAAAATTTCAAGTTGAACGGATAAGTGGTTTTCCTGGAATTTTGATGACAAGATTTGTTGAAAAATTCAAAATGGCCGCCACATAGTTTACCCAGCATGCCCTTAACCTAAATTTGATGACAAGATTTGGTTTATGTCCCGCCCGCCCGCACGCCCAAACGCCCGCCCAACAGCACAAGACGACGACAATATAGCACTTTTTCAAAGTGCGATAAAAAGTGAGTGTAATTTTTTCTGTAAGATCCAGTTGTGCCAGCAAAGGAATAGATGACACACTTTGTAATGCTCATAAATGTGCATCTAGGTGAGCTAGTCATCTGACACTTCTTGTGGAGTTGCAAAATGAAGTTTAGTTTCAATGTGCAAAAAACAAGTCAGAATTCCTCCAGACAAAAAGGTAATGATACTATGTTGGTGGGTGTCATTTTTTGTGTCACACAGTATAATATTTCATATTATGTGACACAATTATAATACTTCAGATGATGTGACGAAATTATAATACTTCAGATGGATAATCCGTGAATGAAACCTCACTTAATTATAATACTTCACATAATGTGATTATAATACTTCTGAAGGTTGATCCGTGAGTGTCTTTGACACCTCACTTATATAATACTTCAAGGGATGACCTGTCACATCATTAAAATACTTCACTTGAAATTATTATACTCATGAATCATGTATTTCAATTCATTGGTCAACAATAAAATTCAATAATACTTCCCAGGGTCTGGTGTTCTACATGCACTTTTCATTTAATAATGGACACTGTAAAATTGTCATAAATGCTTTGAAAATCTAGGTATGCTTTTCACACACAGTACTAAAATTACCCAAATCTCCAACTGATCACTCATTTATGTAATTCTGTCTACAGGGTGTTAAATAACAACTGTACGTTCCCATCTGCAACACAAAGTGATGCTGTCATCTTTTGTCACCCTGTAGAGATCACCAAACTGACAAATGAACACTCGATTGAATATTTAACAAAAAAGTGATGCTGTCATATTTTGTCACCCTGTAGAGACCACTAGATTGAATATTTAAAAGTCAAACAAACCAGCATCACTTTAGACTTATATACTGTAGGTCAAACTAACAGACAGTACCCTCAACCCACTAAGTCAATATATCAAGTTAAATTATTTAATTATTTTCTAGATTTTCAATGCCTGCATTAAATATCTACTTCTGAGAAAATATCACAGAAAACAGACTGACTCGCCAGATTTGCTAGTTTTTAAAAAAACTGCATAATTCGACAGTGTACATATGAAATATGTTTAAATAAACTGATTGTGTGAAAATGGTATCAGGGCAATTAGTCATATTGTGAATATGACCCAGGGGTGTAACAAGGATTCAAAAATAAGTGAGGCAAATATTAATAAGTGAGGTAAATTTAAATTGAGGCAAATATAGATAAGTGAGGCAGATTTAAATTGAGGCAAATATAATGAGGCAAATTTTAATAAATGAGGCAAATTTAAATGAGTGAGGCAAATTTAAAAAGTGAGGCAAAATATTAGCCAAAGAAAATACTGCTTTGTGACATATTTTTAATTCTCAGACTGACAGCCTTATGAGATACAGATACCCAAGCCACATCCATGCCATTGCTGTGGGTGTAAAATGTTCATGTTTACCACTGTCTAAAGCTGACATGTTTGCCTCTGTGCAAAACTGTAGTGTTTGCCTCTGTGTAAAACTGTAGTGTTTATCTGTAAAACTGTAGTTTATCTGTAAAACTGTAATGTTTACCCACAAAACTGTTATGGTTGCCTCTGTGTAAAACTGTAATGTCTATCTGTAAAATTTGTGTGTTTGCATCTGTGTAAATCTGTAGTGTCTATCTGTAAAACTGTAGTGTTTACACCTGTGTAAATCTGTAGTGCTTACCTACAAAACTGTAATGTTTGCCTCTGTGTAAAACTGCAGTGTTTATCTGTAAAACTGTAGTGTTTAAACCTGTGTAAATCTGTAGTGTTTACCTACAAAACTGTTATGGTTGCCTCTGTGTAAAACTGTAATGTTTATCTGTAAAACTTGTGTGTTTGCATTTGTGTAAATCTGTAGTGTTTATCTGTAAAACTGTAGTGTTTGCCTCTGTGTAAAACTGTAATGTTTGCCTCTGTGTAAAACTGTAATGTTTGCCTCTGTGTAAAACGGTAGTGTTTACATCTGTGTAAATCTGTAGTGTTTTCATGTAAAATTGTAATGTTAACTTTTGTGTAAACTGTAATGTTTACATTTTTGTGTATTCTAAACCGATTTATTAACCACTTTGTAAAGCTGTAACATTTACCTCTGTATGACTGTATATCTTATGACTGTAAGATTTAATAAGAATACAATAAAATTGCAATTGTTTAATGAATACATATATGAACATGTATACCCATGTCACCTCATGTTTCACCTCATGTTTCACCTCATGTTTCACCTCATGTCACCTCATGTTTCACCTCATGTTTCACCTCATGTCACCTCATGTTTTTAATACAGATTTCCTAATTTAATATGTATAGTATGGTATCTATTCAAAATTCATTTAGTTAATTATTCCTTTAACATTCATCCTTTCTTCTACATCAGAAGATACCTTCGCTTGAATTGAATTTCCAACATAACATGTACACTTGTGCGGTCCACATAAAAACTAAGCTTAGCCCACCATGGCGTCCAGATGGCATAAGCTTATCATGGTTACTGTGGATTCATACACGTCAAGCCTAACAAAAAAAATGACACATACAAAATCACATATACTATGTACAAAATAAGCAGACTAACAGATGCACAATATTTCTATTTACACGCATATTAATTTGGCGAAATATTTTACAATCCTATCAAAATATTCAGTATATATCACAACAGGGTTTGAAATGTTACAAAAACCTAATAGACAACTTTGGTATTTCGACAAATGTACAGTTATCATATACGAATATTGTAAGCATGTTTAAAATGAGATATTTACAATGAATATTTAACACTATGCATTCACACTACCAAGCTGTTATTGGAGATATCATGTGTTTTGAATTTCATAAATTCCCATTATCAGAGATGAGAAGGGATAGAAATAGATAAATTTGTGAGAAAAATCGCCACAATTTGACAACGTTTTTTGCTCTTAATATTCCATGTCTTGTCATTTTTTTTCAAAAAAAGTCCAACAGTCCTGACTTTATTTCAGGATAATTCTTTGATTTTTAAATTATTAATTAATGATTAAAAGATTGCAAAAGGGGAAACCCTCATGTATGATACAACATTCTAACAATTGCTCTTAAGTAATTTAATTGTGAAATTGCCCATACACCCCAAAAGCTCTCAGTTAATCATTAGCTAGATAGTGCTAGTTCCATTGTTGCGAATGTACAAGTTTAATGTATTACCATCTTTTGAAATATTCATCCAAGTTGGTCACATTCAGCAAATATGGTCACCTATACCAAATATGGTCACATTTACCAAATGTGGTCACATTTACCAAATATGGTCATATATACCAAATATGGTCACATTTACCATATATGGTCACATTTTTTAGGTATATACCAGCTTCATAGTAGTGAATGTACAGGTTTATATATGAATGTGTCACAGTTTCACCCTGGCTAAATTCTCCAAAGAAATTCATTCCTATTTCCTCTGCAGATTCTAGATTATTCAAAATTAAGAGAATACATGCTTCGATGCACCATTTTGCAAAGCTTTTGACAAACGAGGTATGTGTAATTCCCTTGGAAATTTATCTTCAGCAGATACAATACAATAATTCATTCCCTAATATTATTGTAATTAAAGTGCTAAGAGCCTAGCAACAGTGTTTAAAGGGTCCTCTTTTCCAAACAATGATCACACAAATACATAAACAACACACACGAGGACATGTTGCACCTTTAAGCTATTGCCAACAAATAATGTATCTCATACATACAAGGGGTGATCATAAAGTTCTAATAATACTTCTCTAATTTCTTCATTTTGCAATATATTCTCATGAAATTTTATAAGAATTTGCCGCATAGAATGTAGAATGCCTTATTAGAATTCCAATAGAAGACTTATAATAATTCGAAATAGACTGTTAGAATACATTTCAAAGTAAAGAAATTAGTGAGATATTATAAGAACTTAATGACCAACCCTCGTATATCATATTTGAATGATCCTTCCTATTACACTAGCTGCAAAACTAGGTTTTACAATTGCAAGGCCTTTTAACTGTTAATGTGTACTTTTTGTGAATGATCATTTTTAGACTGAAATATGTTTTGGATTGTTGAGACTACTATAATATGTACATATATGTAGATATCCATGTAACAATAAATAAATAGTAAAAAATGTTTCAAACTCAAACATTTTCAAAGAAGTCATCAAAAATCCAAACCACCTCATCTTGATAGGCCTAAAATTTTTTTAACAGACTAAGTAGAGAAATATAAATGCATTCTTTCACTATTTGCGCATTAATTGCACTATTTGTGCATTTTTACACTATTTGTGCATAACTTGCACTATTTGTGCATTATTACACTATTTGTGCATTAATTGCACAATTTATGCATTATTACACTATTTGTGCATTAATTGCACCATTTGTGCATTATTACACTATTTGTGCATTAATTGCACTATTTGTGCATTAATTGCACTATTTGTGCATTATTACACTATTTGTGCATTAATTGCACAATTCCACTCTATGCACACAAAAATTTGGATATCAATTTGAACATCATACATAAATAACATTTTATAAGCAATTGTTAAAATAAATCACAATTTATGGCATTAAGGAGAGGCTTAATGTAGGCACTTGTAGCTAAAGCAAATGCATATTGGAAAAAATAAAAAAAATAGAACTTCGTGTTTTGCTTTTCAGTTCAATTGTCAGGCATACCTCTCAACTCAAAGTCGAAAAACTAAAACTGGATGTCTGGGTAATCATCTCTATGACTTACAATGAGTAGGTTTTTGAAACATTGCATTTACCCACCTGTCTATGGACCCGACTAGGACAGCAGATCAGACTCCAATGTGATGGTATGAAAGCCCCAAAACTTGATAGTTGCGATAGTTTGCCCTTCTACAGCTCACAATTCAAGCCTATGCTGAATTGCGAAGTAAAATTCTACTGAGAAAAATTTCTACATACCAACCGAGAAGACTGCTCAGATATGAGCTTATTTATAAGACAGCTTGGTTAACAAACTTGACAAAATTCTATTGGTTTTTCTGGCTCTTATAAAGGATTGGATATAATCATTCAAATTTTACTTCTAAATTCTGCCCACATACCCTCACATTTATGGAAGTGGTTGAGAGGTATGCAGAGGTACGAAATAAGTGGCAAATAAGAATGATGTTAACAGTGAAGAACTTGAAGAACTTGACTCTTTAGACTAGATAATAACAAAGATTAATAAGATTCGGAACACCCCTAGTAAAGAGTAGGTATCTGCACAGAGGTGGCCTCATCTACATATAAAAATAAATAGTCTAAGATGTACATTTCAAATGCAATTCTCAATTAGCTTATACTTGGAGCTCTTCATGTCCAATTGCGCTCCGTGAGCTTACATACTCTATAGGTATGTCTCAGTTCATTTGACATCACAATACTCATCTGTAGCTATGGTGACCGTACATGGTTGCTATAGTATCAGACTTTACTGTTTCAGATGATACAGACAGATGGAATTAACAGTCAGCCATGTTAATTAAGGATATCCTAACTGTGCCATGGTTGCTATGGTAATGTTAGCCATCTGGTTGCTATGGCAACACCATCACACAGATTCAATCCTGTATCCTTCATAGCACATTGGTTGCTATGGTATCAATTGGTGGCTATGACATCACCTGGTAGTAACTGTTGATATTTGGTTGCTATGGTAACACAGTCTCATAAACTGGTATCCTGCTTCTCCTGCTGTTCCTGCAACTCCTGCTGCTCCTTCCAATACTGGTAGTTGTTTTGCAGATAACTGATAAGCTCACCACAATCACAGAATGCTGCAAAAAAATATTGAAACCAATTTACAAGAGAGAGAAACATAACAAGATGGATGATGAGACAAAAGATGATTTTATGAAACAGTTAAACATTGATCATACCTCAGAAGATATTACAATTGATTCGTGAGACGAATGTGACATAGCATGATGCATCAGGGAGACAAATATTTTTTCTTTTCAAATAAAGTCTTATTTCAATTTATGATAGTACAGATAGAGAAGTTAACTTCAGTTTAATTGATGATGAGAAAAGATGATTTTATGAAATTTAATTAACCCAATCACAATCAATAACAGTTTGAATATTCTTAAATATTCTTTAATTCAGCTAAATCTTGAGTACAGTGTTATCTTTTATATCCTAATATTTCAGCATCATACGTCTGTTAATGCTAAGTCTTAAAATGGTTGCTATAGCAACGAGAGTGTAGTACATTACTTCTGGGACAACCCTCGTATAAATGAGTTTTACTTACCATCCCATGCGTCGAACATTTGGTGTATAAAGAAGTCCAGGAAGCTGACTTGAGACTTTGGTAAACTGCATGTTTTTCTATCAAAAACTGGCATGACTACTGGCAACCCTTTCTCTTTCTCTTCCTCTGTCTGCAAATACAGAAATACACAATACATGTAAATGTACCAAAATACACTATTAACGTTCAAATGGAATACACGATACATGAATGAACCAATGAAAGTGGTGCAAGTCGAGGAGAAAATTGGAATTTTTGTGACTCACATTATGAAAAACTGAGCCAGAAGTCGGAGTAAAAACATGTTTCTTGATGTCTTTGAACGAAGAAAATTGCAATAATTCAATTCCAAAATAGTTCATAATGTTTTGACACACTCCAGTGTTAATAAGCAAACTGTGGTTACCAGGGAGAAATACTCCTGTGTTAATAAACTGTGGTTACATGGGAGAAATACTCCTGTGTTAATAAACTGTGGTTACATGGGAGAAATACTCCTCTGTTAATAAACAAACTGTGGTTACCTGGGAGAAATACTCCAGTGTTAATCAACAAACTGTGGTTACCTGGGAGAAATACTCCTGTGTTAATAAACAAACTGTGGTTACCTGGGAGAAATGCTCCTGTGTTAATAAACAAACTGTGGTTACCTGGGAGAAATACTCCTGTGTTAATAAACAAACTGTGGTTACCTGGGAGAAATACTCCTGTGATAATAAACAAACTGTGGTTACCTGGGAGAAATACTCCTGCGTTCATAAATAAACTGTGGTTACCTGGGAGAAATACTCCTGTGTTAACAAACAAACTGTGGTTACCTGGGAGAAATACTCCAGTGTTAAATAAGCAAACTGTGGTTACCTGGGAGAAGTACTCCTCTGCAATCCTCAGGGCCCATTCCTTACACAGGTAGAGGGGACGAGTGGGGTTAGAGACATCGGCACATTTGATTAACATTCGTTTGATAAGCGTACGGTTCTCAGGTGTGTTTAGATGAGATATTGAGGTAGAGCTCTCTGGAGTGCCACGTCCACTCTGAAATATAAAAAAACAATTTTGTTCTAATTTAGTATTCACTACAAACAACTAAAATGTTACATTTCCTCGCTCTGTTTTGAAATACATTTAGTATTCCTTTTGGCAATTGGGCATACATAGTTCTATTAATTTCAAGCATACAAAGAAAATATGCTATACATGAAATTCCCGGGGATTTTGGACTTCTTTCAAATATAGGCACTAACATTAAATTTATTTATTTATTTTGATTTTTCTAAATGCCCCAGGCGCTAATTACAGAGAATATGGTAGGTTTGGCCATGTAGATCATCATACACAAATAGATAGACTTACATGTACAGAATCTTCCTCCTCTCTCCCAGGGGGCTTATTGATGCTGCTCACAAATTTGGAGAGATGTTCAAAATGTTTCGTCATTTCTGTCGCCATTACCATATCTATCACACTTTGTCGCAGGGCCCGAAAGTCATCCCTATGAAAACATAACATTAATGTACTGTAAAACATTACAACATAATTTACTTTCCATATCTCACATTTGTTCCAATGATTCCCAAATTTCAAAAAAATGCATCATTCAAAGGTTTGCGTGAGATGTCCCACCTTCGGAGGAATGGGGAATTTGAAAATAAAAATCAGACTGTCAGATTCACTACTCTGGGAGCAATAATAACTGGCAAACAAAAATGCATCCTAATGTATACAGAACGCACATTAAGTAGTTAGCATATTTTATTGCCAACTACCCTGTATATATTGTTGAGATTTTATGATGTATGAGGTAACTGAGGTATGTATGAGGTAACTGAGGTATGTATGAGGTAACTGAGGTATGTATGAGGTAACTGAGGTATGTATGAGGTAACTGAGGTATGTATGAGGTAACTGAGGTATGTATGAGGTAACTGAGGTATGTATGAGGTAACTGAGGTATGTATGAGGTAACTGAGGTATGTATGAGGTAACTGAGGTATGTATGAGGTAACTGGGGTATGTATGAGGTAACTGAGGTATGTATGAGGTAACTGAGGTATGTATGAGGTAACTGAGGTATGTATGAGGTAACTGAGGTATGTATGAGGTAACTGAGGTATGTATGAGGTAACTGAGGTATGTATGAGGTAACTGAGGTATGTATGAGGTAACTGAGGTATGTATGAGGTAACTGAGGTATGTATGAGGTAACTGAGGTATGTATGAGGTAACTGAGGTATGTATGAGGTAACTGAGGTATGTATGAGGTAACTGAGGCATGTATGAGGTAACTGAGGTAGGTATGAGGTAACTGAGGCATGTATGAGGAGACTGAGGCGTATTTATACCTGTATAGTTAAAGAAGTAGCTAATTTAACATAGGAATTTGTTATTTGATTTAAACACATACACTGCATATGGAATAGGGCACCACTCATCGTATTATTCAGGAGTACTCATAATAATTTCAAAATTAATTCTAAAAGGCCAGGAGTAATATAATTGAACTTGGGTACCCAATAAAAATTTAGAAATGTTTCTCAATTAAATCTGGTTTAAATAATCAGTGATTTGGATAAAAGGTCTTATCCTATGCCAAGTAGAGTTTTAGGGAGATAAGTTGGTAAGATCCTGTACCCCGATTTTCAGGTTTCCATATCCAGAACCTCCATATCTCCTGCTTCGGTGCATATCTTCCCGCTTCCGGTGCATATCTTCCCGCTTCCGGTAATGCAATAAAATGACTTTGCATATGAATAATTTGTTTATTTTTACACCTTGTATTATTGAAATGGCCATATTCCCCTGAAAACTCTACTTGGTATAGGATAAAGCAGTTATGTATGGTCGGTTTGGATATGGGGTTCATCCCTCGTGAGATATGCACATCTACCTTCGGTCCCTACGGTCCCTCAGGTAGATATGCATATCTCCCTCTGGATAAACCCCATATCCAAAACCTCCCCGGTACATAACCCTTATTTACCTGTCCATGTTTTTGAATATATTGACGTCATCGTCCTTGGAGGTGATTTGGAAGGCGAGTGCAACGTGGTGACTTTCCAGTACAGCTCTAAAACATAATCATGCTCACAATAGAACGAAGTATTTCAGTTATGGAAAACATCGAAATTCTGTTCTGCAGAGCAATTGTGGTCTTTCGATCCATAAATCCATAAATCGTAGGATCTTTGTTATGATTCCAATATAATTATAATAAAAACGACTGTAAGCTTTTTGTGGACCGATGAAATCAGGAAATATCCATTGTTTTTATTATTGTGACATCAAAAATCATATATGAATTGTAAATATACAGTTTGTAACACTTACAGATCATTGTATAGGAAAGCAAGCCTGTCCCCTGAATTAACAAGAAATGAGTTTGTGCGGCCTGGATGGTCGACGTCATGGATGACGGCAGCTATCAACGCAGCAACCTCATCCATCTGGTCAAATATTGCCTACAGGAAAAGATAATGTTACTCTTTGTCAAGAAAAATTTACATTTTGCCAAAAACATTGTTACTCTTTTTCATAAACAATGTTATTTTAAATAATGTTACTTTTTGTCAAAAAAAGTTACTTTTTGTCAAAACAATGTTACTTTTTGTCAAAAACAATGTTACTATTTGTCAAAAAAGTGTTACTTTTTGTCAAAAATTATTACTTTTTGTCAAAACAATGTTATTTTTGTCAAAAACAATGTTACTTTTTGTCAAAAACAATGTTACTTTTTGTCAAAAAAGTTACTTTTTTTGTCAAAAAAAATGTTACTTTTTGTCAAAAAAATGTTACTTTTTGTCAAAAACAATGTTAATTTTTGTCAAAAACAATGTTACTATTTGTCAAAAAAATGATACTTTTGTCAAAAACAAAGTTACAATTTTTCAAGAACAATATTACATTTTCCAAAACTATAACAAATTCTATACTTATTTCATTTGTTTCAAAATGTTGCACTCTGTGCTTTTCAATTTTACAAAAAAGAACCCTTCCACAAAAACACAATATAAAAACATGGAAAAAATAAAAAAGTTTACCTTTATTCTTTCCCGTTCAAGGAAGTACGCTGAAGCCTGCATTACGTCTGCCGCATGGGTGGAATTGTGGTAACTATTCTTTGAATGATAGTTAGCTTCTATGATTTGAAGCCAGTTATGTAATACTGTTTCGCTACAATTTAAAAAACTGCAAACCCCAAACCGGGCGAACGTTTTTAACCCTAGATAAACCAGCGGCCTGAAATGAGAGAAAATTATGGAATGTATCGTGGTGCAAATTTTCATCTTTAAAAGTCAGGTCTTTGGTGAAATCTTGGGGAGGCTTCCTGTATTTTTATACTATTAAAAGGTTACAGATATTTTCAGAAGGTTAATATTTCCATTAATAAGTTCATTCTTCTCTTACTTTGGCATCATTATTTAAATTTTTCACCCCATTTCATGCTTACACATGTGGAACATTGTCACACATTACACAAGTACACAAACACATGTCACACATTACACATACATGTTACTGATTACATGTAATTTCATCCAAGTCAAACACATTAAAGCCCTACTTTACCTCGGCAAACATAACACATGCATATGTCACACATAACACATACACATGACACATACATGTCACATATTACGCATACCTCCTATTGCTAACTTCATCGAAGTTAAGCACATTGAAGTCCCACCTTACATCGTCACACATAACACATGTCACACATTACACATACATGTCACATATTACACATACCTCATATAGCTAACTTCCTCTAAGTTAAGCACATTGAAGTCCCATCTTACATCGTCACACATAACACATGTCACACATACATGTCACATATTACACATACCTCCTATTGCTAACTTCCTCTAAGTTAAGCACATTGAAGTCCCACCTTACATCGTCACACATAACATATGTCACACATACATGTCACATATTACACATACCTCTTATTGCTAACTTCCTCTAAGTTAAGCACATTGAAGTCCCACCTTACATCGTCACACATAACACATGTCACACATTACACATATATGTCACATATTACACATACCTCCTATTGCTAACTTCCTCTAAGTTAAGCACATTGAAGTCCCACTTTGCCTTGTCATACATAACACATGTCACACATTACACATACATGTCACATATTACACATACCTCTTATTGCTAACTTCCTCTAAGTTAAGCACATTGAAGTCCCACCTTACATCGTCACACATAACACATGTCACACATTACACATATATGTCACATATTACACATACCTCTTATTGCTAACTTCCTCTAAGTTAAGCACATTGAAGTCCCACTTTGCCTTGTCATACATAACACATGTCACACATTACACATACATGTCACATATTACACATACCTCTTATTGCTAACTTCCTCTAAGTTAAGCACATTAAAGTCCCACTTTGCCTCATCATACATAACACATGTCACACATTACACATACATGTCACATATTACACATACCTCTTATTGCTAACTTCCTCTAAGTTAAGAACATTGAAGTCCCACTTTGCCTTGTCACACATAACACATGTCACACATACATGTCACATATTACACATACCTCCAACACATGTCACACATAACACATGTCACACATTACATATACATGTCACATATTACACATACCTCTTATTGCTAACTTCCTCTAAGTTAAGCACATTAAAGTCCCACTTCGCCTCGTCCCTAGTGGCATTCTGGATTTCTACAGGGATCTGACTCAATGTCTTTATAGTTTTAGGAATGTGGGGGGTATGACCTAAAAAGGTAGCATACATTTAAATTATGAGACTAACATATGGCAGGCCTGCTCAATAATGTGCAGCAGCACCCCCAGATAATTCTGTAACCTCTTTGATGTTTCAAAGATATGAAGTTGGCGGTACTAAAAATCTAAAAATTTTACACTTTGATATTTCTAAACCCAAATATGACAAAAATCGACATTCTAGAAAGCCTCAAAATGTGGACCATTGGAACTTTTTGCCAGTCTCATTAGCATTTGGGTAAGACAGGTTTTAGTGTACTTTGACAAATAAAATATTGTTTCTCACCATGCGATGTTTTCACATCAATGCCATACGAAGACCGCCTTTTTACAGTACCCTGTGAAAAAATAAAATTAAGATTTTTATAAATTACCTGCATTATCATTTCAAAATGTCCATCTTTCAAAAGTGTTCTTATTAAGGTATTCTGGTAATATGCAAACACTTTTGAGAATGACACTTTGAAATATGAACACTTCCGGTTGGTTCAAACAAGTGTTTGCATTCTATTATGTTTCTCATATGGATAAACAAAATTCATGCAGTTTTTCATCTATTTGAGCATTTTCAAGTGATTTTGAGCCAGAGTTGTCAAAATTGAACCCCTGAAATGTTTACAAGTGATTTTAAGCTGATTTTGTCAAATTTGAACCAGGCCTTGAAATATTTATAAACATCTGACCCTCACTTGGCAAAAATCTGGCTATGGGCCTGAGCAAGTATAGTACTTGATAGTCTTTTTTACCAGTTTTGTATGGTCGTGTTTTTGCAGCATTCAAAAGTTAAAATCAGTACCATAGATATGCATGCTATTGTAATACATTGCTTGATATCATCGTACTAATACCTGAGTAAAACTTGTTTCGCTGAGTGACCTTGGAGGCTATATTAGCCAATCAGAATGCAGCATGAGGTGTAATCCAGCGGAGGGGTATGGGTTAACATGCAGGGTTAAAGCCAATCACCGTGCAGAAATGTAACAAAACAAACAACAAAGGCATGCATAATTAAGGTATTAACATAGTATATAGTCTGTCAAGGGCAAATAGCTGAAATTTCCATCCTAAATAATGCCTGGGTCACATTTGCTCCGATTCATCGTCCGGGGCCCGCCAATTTTTTTAATTTTTTTAATTTCAAAAAAGAAGGAATATATTCAACTCTATAATTGATTGTATAAGTAACATATCATGATGAATTATGAGATATTTTTGGGTTATTTGAGTTGAGAATTAAAGCTATTAACCCTGTTTAAAACTCTCCCCTTTCCCATATCATATCCCAAAATAAAAAATGGGCGAGGGGGATATAGGGACTTTATTAATACTAATATGTAGACTCAGGGGTCTGAAATATATATATCCTATTCTCAATTTCTAGAGCATTCTGTATTTCTGAGGTACACAGAGGGAAAGTAGATAGAGTATAATAATTTTAGTAACAGACCCCTGTATCAATACAATACACAATATAAGCCAAAACTAATAGATAGTCAATACTTTTAATCAAGTAGATATCAGCCCAAAACAACTTTTTCAAAACCTATTTATTGATGATTCTGCCATAAAACTGGTTTGTCTGTTTCAGTAAAAACAGATAAACTATTTCTGATCAAATAAAACCAAAAAACTGACCCCTTTTAGTGACCCACAGAGGGCATTTCTTTTTTCTAGATAATTGATTGAATTGTGCAAAAGTACTTTTAATATCTCATTTGTTTTGGCTCACACATCCCCTATCACCAAAATTTAATATCAACATGCATTCATGACTAAAAAATAAAATGTATTATAAATACTTATACACTAGTTTTAGCAGTTATGGTGCAGGGGTTTCATTAGCAGCAGGCAACAGGCGATTTTCACCGGTTGTATGCACAAAAACTGCCTGTTGTTTTTAGGGACTTTTCAAGTTTTTCATGTTAAATTCATGATTTCCATTAATTTTGCTTATAGTTTCTATTTATTTAGCCCATTGTGAGAAATTCCAGTGTTTTGAGAAATTCTAGTGAAACCCCCGATGGTGTATAGCTATATGAATGTATATATTTGGTGGATATGTATATGGTAGCTATATATAATATATAAATAAAATATATTTGGTCATACAACTGATAATTAAAGATCAGAGTCTAACAGAATTATTCTGGGTTTTATTTCTATGGGTTTTATTTCTATGGGTTTTGGGTTACGGGTCACACTATAGCATTCGGGTACGTTAAGAAAGTAAAAGCAACTAAAAGTCTAAGAATAGGACAGACAAGTACTACACATACAAAGCAAAATATATACAATAACCGTGGAACTCCAATCTATATCTTTTTAAATCATGTACAGTTTTTTATCAATGGTATCTTTGTTTATGTTTCTAAAAAGTATTCTTTTTTAACAGAGGATTTACTTTATTGATTTATAAATAGATAGCAGTACAGTAGTTGCTTTGGCATTACTAGAATGACCTAAAAAAATGTAGAAAACTGACAAAAATTACTTCACTTTTCCATGTATCAAATATTTCCAACAAGATGGCATTTGGATCACAATTTATCATTACGATTATGATTCTTAACAAGTAAATGAACTTTTAATCATAGAAAAGCTTCTCTATTTTTTGTTGTTATTTAAGTGGAATTCCACGACGATTGTGAATTTTGATTAGAGTTGATGAGAAATATAAGAGAGTATAATTACTGGAGAGTGACAGAACCTGTAGTTGTCATTCTGAAATATTAGAACAACGAGGATATATGAAGAACAACGAGGATATATGAAGAACAATGAGGATATACAAAGAGGACATTTGAAACAAAGGGAGTTGTTAGTAGAAAAGAGGACATTAGAAAAAGGATCTACTGAAAAAATTGATTGAGGAGAAAAGTCAAAGAATTTCAATGATACAAAGAAGACATTTGGAACAAAGAAGACAATTGGTACAAAGAGGACAGTTGTTACAAAGAGGACAAGTTATTAATTGGAATGAATAATTTAGAAAATGAAGATATTCAAATGGATGGATATATTAGGAGGATATCAAATTTACTTGTGTATTTAGTGAGAACAATTAGGATGAATATTCAGAACAAAGAGGATACACAACGATGATCAATGATTTATAATATATACAGATATTTTAAGAAGTACAGGTTGTAACAAAAGAAAAGAATGGAACACAAATAAGTAGAAAATCAAAATAAGGATATTTAAAAATATATATCACAAGATGAGGATACCAAATAAAAAAATTCAGAAGACAATATCATACAACAACAAAAGAGGATATCAGAAATCAGTTGAGAATATTTCAAAACAAGTGATTACCAAATGAGGATATTAACAGCCAAGAGAGGAAACCAGAAAATTAAATGCAAAACAAAAGAGTGGGAAATTAAAATACAACAGAGTATACCAGAAACACATAATGGATACCAAATAAGGATATAGACTAAAGACTATAAGAATATAAGATATTTCCGGTATGAGTGATTTACTGTATAAATAAAGATGAAAAAATAGTTCATCTCTTTTTTCTTACCGTCATAAGTCCCCCTACATAATCACTCGTCATTTGGTCCTCTTCACGCACTTGCTGGGTCTGCAAGTGCGGAGAATATAGTTCCGAGGTACGTAAAATTTCCAGGACTTTATCTAATGCCTGCGACACCATCATGGGACTATTTTCTTGTGCTGCATTTATGATATTTATAACCTGGAAATCAAAACTCTTTTTTAAAACAAAATTACAAACTACTGTTGTTCTGGTACAAGGTGACACAAAAGTGCAACACCCGAATTTTGTAACAACTTTTTCAGTTGTGATGTGTTCAGAGGGCAGCATTTGTTGTCATGGAAACATGAAATCATTTGTTCTCATGAAAAGAAAACTGTTTATACACAATGTTGAAAGTAGTGTAGTTAGCATTGTAAATTCCATATATGGCACCCTAAATTGCTATGGCAATCAAAAAACATAATCTAAATGTACTTTGACTTTATTGTACCAAACCTGACTAAAATGTCATTGGATGATTTTACAAAGATATAAGTAGACTTGGACTAAGAGGAACTATATACCTTTGTTATTGAACTTTATACCTTTGTAATTGAACTACATACCTTTGTAATTGGAGCTTCTATTGTCATTGAATGGATTCGTGCTACTGACTCACGTCTCTTAGGGAAACTGTGGATGCCCCCTGAAAATAACAATTCGATACAATATGACAGGTGAACATGTTCTTCAAGTTGATTTATTTCATCCTCCAAATGAGGGGTCCAGACACCATCCACTCTGTTCCTTTCCCCTGCATTTGGAGTATGGTTTGTTTAGAAATTAGTTGTTTTTCTTCCATCACAACCTGGGTATGTCTCGAAATAATGTGATTTCTTGTGACTGGCATCTATAGCAGTCTGGTTTCAATTTAGATGTGGGTTGAAAAAAGATCCAGATGGTTTCAGATATACTCCAAATAAAAAAGGTACAGTGATAGAAGAAATACTGTTTATTCAATAAAACATGCATTTTGGATTACTGTTGTGGCTCAGAGAAGTCTCTCTTAATATGTCATGTTTTGGGAGATATTAGTAATGATTTATGCATTTTATCTCATGTATAAGAGAAAAAGACTCAAAATGAGATGAAATCGAGTAACATTGTAAATTTGCTTTTATACAGGGTGTTCAGTAAATAAGGTGACTGGGTCTGGTATTGTATTGGTCCAAACATCATGAAAACCAGTGAGCATATATCTTGAACATTTCTAAATTGATTTATTTAAATATATTAGTACTACCATTTGATTGGTTAATATAATTGTAATATATGAACACCCATAAGCATGCCAAGTGCCATGGGAAGCACAAAGACAATGTACTGTGCATGTGCATGCAGAAATGCCATGCATATGCATTATCAGACACAGGAAACATTGACATCAACATTTAACAAAGGTTCTTGACATTTATGGAGATTCCAAGGTTGCAGGGTATAGTTTGGTATATCATGCATGGGATTCCAAGGATGCAAGGTATATTTGGGCATTCATCAAACCCCACAATTGACAGGAAAGATACACGTAAAACAAAAATGCATGCAAAAATCAGAAATGCATTACATAAACAATAATGCATGGACATATTCATTAACAGTAATATCCATATTTAGTAATACATGCACTTTAACAGTGATACATGCAGAGAATAGTAATGCATGCACATATAAACAGTAATGCATTCAGATAAACGTAAGCATATGCACACATTCATTAACAGTCGTGCTAATATTCAGTAATGCATGCATAGAACAGTAATGCATGCATAAAACAGAAATGCATGCAGAAAACAGAAATGCATGCATAAAACAGAAATGCATGCAGAAAATAGTAATGCATGTACATATGAACAGTAGTGCATGCATAAAACAGTAATGCATGCATAAAACAGAAATGCATGCAGAAAACAGAAATGCATGCATAAAACAGAAATGCATGCAGAAAATAGTAATGCATGCACATATGAACAGTAATGCATGCATAAAACAGAAATGGATGCAGTGGAATATCTTCTATCAAAGAACACATTTTTGTGCCTTTACTCAAACAAATATTCTGGCATTGAATATTTCATGACTAAGATTAAGATTAAGGACTTGAGCACCATCTATAAATAGATATCAAAATCACAATCTCTACAACTTTTTCTATAACATGTATAACTTCTGTTGTGTACAGTAAATTGTATACAGCCAAACAAGAGGGGGAGAAACCCCAGGGTTCAAAGATGACATACACTTATAATGTAAATCTGTATTGAGATGACATCGTCGCTGATTGGTTTAGCGAGTCGATCGTTAATTGGTTTAAAACTAGGTCAATTTGAAAACTTTGAAAACCAAGATGGAGGGTTAGTACTTCCGGGAAAGGAGGTGCGCGAAGGAGGAAATCGTATGTCATCGATTGAATTATGGGGTTTTCCCTCCTCTTCAGCCATACATGTTGACCCATTGATTCCTTTTTGAATAATTGGATTTAATTATTTGATTTGCAATGAGATATTCAAAATGATTCATCATCTCTGTAAAAATCACAAAAAAATACAAATACTATATGACGGTGTTCAGGCACAATTTTTAGGTACAAACAAAATTAAATTAAAATTCTGTATTATGCACATGATAAAAGTGCTGTACATCTGTATTAAGATTTAGGCACAATGTTAAGGCATATTAAAGAAAAGATTGCTGAATTAGAATTTAGGCACGATATTACGGTGTTTTTAAAAGACACTGTTTTAAGATTCAGGCACACTGTGTTCTATTGATAGCAAGATACCTTTTTGGTTCAATTATATTTCACAATTCTGAAAAATCTATATTCCGTTTCAGTTCAACACTACAACATTTCAGCTCAAATTGTGAAATACAATTGTTTCAAAATTTGGTTACAATGGAGACGGGAGGTTGGAGGGGGTGCAAAATTTACCATCTAGACTGGAAAGAGATGTAATGTCTATGGAGCCCCGGTGAATCATGAAACCATCTCCTTTTCTATAACCTATAGAATCTGTAGCAGATAAAAGAAAGATTATATTAATATTGTTATAATATATTATACCAAAGCTGTTGATTAGATGACAGGATTTTTATAGACTGGGGTCAATAGACCAATTCAATAAATCATGCCACTTATTGGTTGTGGTGTCATACTTTTCTAGTTTCATGCCAGAAATGGGATTAACATATTGCTTAAAGTTTAAAAAAATTCTCACAATTTTCTTTACAAACATTGCAGTCTGCAAAGTACGACATCAATCTTTACAATAAACTTTAGTTTATTGCATCACCAAAAGAGGTCAGGATTTATTGGAATGGCCTATTGTGACAACGGAAAGAACAGTTTTTAAAACTATAGATTTTGCAGATAAAGATAACTAAGTTTATTTACCTTATGTACAAGTATGGAATTTATGAGATTAAGCTTACTAGATTTTTTGCAGGCGATTTCTTTAAAGAATTAAACAATAAATACTGGGTGCCTTTAAATCACATCTGTATAGAATTCATGAAACAGGACAACTTATAAGTAAACCCAGTTTTTATTGTCCATTATTAGACAATCACTCCTTCTAGTTTCTATTTCCGCAGATAGCACACAGAATTTGCCTTATTTGGGCATCAAATTAACAGAACTTAAATTTTGATCATTTGTGCAGAATTTCCTTCAGAATTCATAAATTTTCTGAGAGAATTTTGCTAGATTCACATATTTTTATGACTGCATTTATTTCACAATATTTTTCTATGTGTCTCTTTTTCATCTAACTGCAGAGAAATCCAGGAGAATTCAAAAAAAATTGGCCTTTTCCTCTTGCAGAATTCACTAGTTTTATTTGCAGAATTCATCATTTAAACTTTCAGAAACACTGGAAGGAGTGGACAATGTAAAAGCGTAAGACTCATTATTGTGTGAATTTTGAAAAAAACATTGATCAAGAGGCCAAGAATAAAAACGGGGAATGTCTTACCATTTTGGGTTAATTCACCGTCTTTGTATCGATCTACGGGCATATTGTTATGGTCATGGGTGGATCGGATAGAGACAGTATGACGGACTTTCCTAAAATAGAAAATCAAAAGTTTAGTAGGAAATATCAGAATTGTGAAATATGTCTTCAAATCCTATGGTTCTTTCATTTCATCCAAATTTTTTTCGATACTCCAGAAATTCACTTTAATTCATCCATTCTTTTGTTGCAAAAGAGAAAGCAAAGGCAAACATTTGAAATCAAAGAATAAATAAAAAGTACTTCGAAACCAATTATTAAAAATAGTTGCAGATAAAAATAGAAAAAAATTAAACTAGAATAAATTGAAGGCCTTTCCTAGTTTAGCTCAAAATCAAAGCCAGTCCTTATTAGGCCATAATAAAATGTCAAAACCTACCCAAGTTTGGCCATAACTGGAGTTGTGTAACAGTGATGTAAAATATGCTGCCCGTTTTTTCTTTTTATATAATATGCACCTTCCCAATGCTGCAAAACAAGAGGAAATCGACAATATAGTAAAATTATTTGTTATACATTTTAGTTTGATCAACATGATTTTTAAGTATTTTCAAGAATTCGATAACCAATAATACGATATAAATAATGTGTCAAATGTTGTAAAATTATAAACTCTCTTTAGAGAACATCTCTTCCTGGCAGAGATATAAATAAAAATGCAAGAAATAAAATTTTTAGGTCATTTGCTAAAGTAATTTATAATTATATGGTTGAGCCTCTCACATTTGTAGCTTCACAAAATCGATATAGAAATCTATATCATACTGCTTATCCCTTTATTTTATGCTGGATATTTCTCTCGGTTTTGGGAAGCTATTGGCTGCCGTACAGTCGCCGTTGCTCAAATGTGACTGAGGCATTAATCATAAAATGTCACGTTACCTTTCCTTTCTTAACTTGTGAGTTTATAGTTTCTTCTAAATCTTGTTTATTTTTGTCACTACGTAGTAGTTCTGTTATATCTTTGCCCTGCGTTTCTTCACAAGTGTAACCTAGCAACCGCTCACAGGCAGGATTTATATACTGAAACGAAAACAAACGTCACGGTCAAATTGAACATATCGACAATTTATTTAACGATGCTTTGTTATTTTATCCTTATAAATTATATTTTGAGCTACAGAAGTTACATTCCAACTATCAAACTCTCATAATGAAATCAACTGATAAAATTTGTTCTGACACCACACAGGTGTCTCAGAATTCCATAGATGTTGGTGTCTCAGAATTCTAGTGGAATTTCCAAATTGCTCAATTCAAAACATGAAGATGTTTTGGATAACTTCTGCATTGTTCAAAAAACTCAAAATGATGGCTGTAGGGGTTTATGCCTGACTATGGAAGTAATGGCACTAGATGATGTCAGACGGTCATCTAATGTTGGATTGTGGCTATTTTTATAATTAGGGCAATGCATTATTTCCAGGAAAAAAGACATAGAGGCGATTCATTTGGACTTTAAGACAAGGAACCTGCAATCATCCTACCAACATTTTTTCTTCTTTTTTTCCTTGCTTTTTCCTTGCGTCTTTTCTGAAATGTTGTAATTTTCACACTGTTTTTTTTTCAATGTTTGATTCATATATGTTTATTTTTTATGATCAACCCCTCAAAGGAAATGTGCATTCATTTTAGATAAAGTGGAAAACAATGTTATTTTCCCCATAGGGACAAATCATGCTATCCATTGTTTTCAGCTTAATTTTGGTCACCCATAATTGATATGTTTAAAACCCCTGAATGAATGCAATTTTTCCTTTTAAAAGGGGAATTATGCCTCAATAGACAATCTCTTTATCAAACATGTTGCAAAAAGGGTGAACATTAGAATAACATTTCAGAAAAAGTGAGTTGGTGCAGTGATTGCTCCTTTTTGTCCCAAAGTCATCTCTTTGAGAATTTTTCCTGGAGATAATGCATTGGCCGAGCATTATGCATTTGTAAAATCCTCAGGATATAGCCATAATATAAGTTATTGAATGATCTGACGTGCAATACAGGATATATTCTGTTCGAGAAATTTTGTATTGGAACGAGACGAAGTCGAGTGCCAATACATAATATCGAGACAGATGATCAACGGGAGATTATCAACGGGGACAATCTCAATAGCAATACAGATTGGTACAGCACAAGAACTGACCAATCAGAGGTCTTCATTTCACAGATCATACGATAATTCAACATGTTGCATTTCTATATAATTCAGAGTGCTGATTACATGACTGTTTACTTTATCCTTGCTTATTACATCTTTTCCATTCTAAGATATGCAATTCAAAATATGACCCGATGAAAACTTTTTCCAATACCTGAGTCTCTCTATGTTCATTTGTTATGTGGATTCCTTCATGGCAATTGTCTAATGCAGTGAATAATGCACCTGCAGCTCGTACTTTGTGCTGCAGCCGAACATCGTGTTGCTCTATACTTAAGAGTTCATTCAGACATGTACCAACATTTAGGTTCTCTATATACCTCTGGAAAGGAAAATATGTGTGTTATATACCTATGGAAAGAGAAATACATAATCTATATGCACATGGAAAGAGAAATACATGTTCTATATACATCTGGAAAGAAAAATACATATTCTATATACCTCTGGAGAGGGAAATACATGTTCTAAGATTATATCTTTGTGTTACTGGTTTTCAACATCTTTGATCATAGTAATCCTTTTTATAATATTTCAACTTCTATTTAGAGACAGATGACAAGCACAATATGATATTAAAGAGAAAAGTAAAAACACAATTACTGTGTTATTTACTTTGGACAATCATTTGCACACTCAACGTAAAATGCTGATAATAGAGTGGCTAATTAGCTCTGTGGCTAATTAGCTCTGTCTTTAAGAACATGAATGATAATTTTGAATATTAATTTCACCCACATTGGTTGAACTTAACCTCTATTTATACACTTACTCTATTGAAGCCTGCTGAAAGCAGGGGTGCAATTGATGGTTCTTCTTTATCACTTGTACTGGAAATAAAATAATAAATAATATAATGTATAATATTCAATGATGGTGAGATTTTAAGAAATTTGATTGGCTAGAATGACATAAAAATATATCAAGTATTTTTACGTTTTAGGATACAGAATCCGATTGTCCCTTTGGTGTCCCTCTGTATCAAATGTTTCATGTTATATATTTTCTACTGAAAACCATTTTTAACACAGTACATGTCCAATATGTTCATTGAAAAACAATATTCATTGATGCCTGTAACTCGTACTTAAGAAACAAGACGTAAAGGTGAATACATCTTTTGAGGAAGCAATCTTTTCTGTATCTAACTTATTTCATTGATACCTTTTAAATAACTTCAAAACAATAAACTATATGACTGTACCAGTATATGCTATAATACATTGAATATTCAAAAATATTTATTTATGAAGTAAATAGTCCAGATATCTTTTACACTGCCTAACCCACAAAGATATGAAAAAGCAGTTAATTACAATTTTTATCAATTACGACTGGCGAGAACATCCAAAAATAAATTTTAGGAGCCTTAAATAGATGTTTTGCCAGTGTACCATGACATGAAATATCAGTATCTTTGAAGTCATGGTTGTCTCGTTTTAAATCTTGGTGGAAAAGAGAGGTATCAGCAAAAAATGAGAGAAACAGGTATTCAAAATTCTTCAGGCAGTTGCAGTCTAATAATGACAATTTCAAATATGAATATTGAATAATGACAATTTCAAATATGAATAATAATGACAATTTCAAATATGAATAATGAATAATGACAATTTCAAATATGAATAATGAATAATGACAATTTCAAATATGAATAACGACAATTTCAAATATGAATAATGAATAATGACAATTTCAAATATGAATAATGACAATTTCAAATATGGATAATGAATAATAACTTCAATTTCAAATATCTCTAAAATTTCAACAAGGTGGTAATTTTTAACATGGTGCATGACCTAACTGCTCTTATAAAGCAATCAAATGGCCCATAGAAATACAGGCATTCTTCAAAAACTACAAAATCATTGTCAAATTATGCCTGGGTCACATTAACTGTGATTCATCGGCCGGCGCCTGGCTGATTGAGTATTTTGTTCAAAATTGAATACATTTCTGAACAAAATACTCAATCGGAGGGGCGCCGCAGTGAAAATCTGAGCTTATGTGACCAAGGCATTATATGGCAATTTCCAAGACTAAGAACGCTTGTGTATGTAAGTACAAAGTTGTGTACTGTATATTGGAAATGTGACTTCGCTATCCGATTATTTGTTTCAAACTCAGAAATGTTGTCAGCCGTCTAATGAGCAAAAGTGATAAGATTTTTCGCCATAAAATAATCAATCCCTAGACAAGATCATCTTTGTCCAATTTTAAGTTGCGGACTTTTTTCTTCACTCATGCATCGTGTTCCCACATCACGAACCACACAGCTGATTGGTTAATCAAGTGTGAATTGTTTACCAGTGAGAATCTGTAGCAAGTGCCAAAAGGCAGCATAATAGCGAAAATTGTATGAAAATTATTATCTAATCGCCATGAATCTTGTTCAAAATGCGGATGTTAAATATGCAATTAATTAAATGTCCAAAAACTAGCAAAACAGAGCCGAGGGGTCATGAGGCTGAATCAAGAACATAAAATTTGGTATAAAAGTAAACAATTACTAATTAGGCTGCACATAGTGAAACAAAAACATCCTAAATGCCATTTTTAATTAATTAATTTATCAATTCGAACAATTCCATATTCAGACAAATGATTAAAATGTCTATAAATAAGATTCCTGAAATATCTTCCTGATTAAAGCGTTAGGAATCCAACCAGTAAACCAAAAGCTTATGCAATCCTTTTAATGATTTTCATGGCAAATTGATGTTTTTTAAGTCTTGGTGTTTATATGTAGTCTAGATGGAGTTTCATAACAAATTACTAATGCAATAGTAAATCCAGATGTTTGGCATTTGTTACTTATAAAATATCAGAGGGCATGTTTTCTATTAAGATTTAGAGTGAAAAAGAGTGGAATTAGCAAGAAATAAAATATATTGGTATGTAGTCCGCATTCTAAATTGTATAGAAATGCAAGAAAATTGGACAATTTATTCAAATTTTAGAGAGAAATCAGCAAGGAATTAAGTAAACAGACATGTAGTTAACATTACTAATTCTCTAGAAATGAAAGAATATCAAATAGTTAGTTCAAATTTTAGAGAAATTTGGAGGAAAACAGCTGACAAAATTAGAGAGAACTGAGAGAACTAAATTGATTCATAATGTATTTTTAAAAGCAAGAGGTCTAAGCCTAACTCTATGATAAAACACTATCATTCAAAATGTGAAAAAGTGAGAGCGAAGACTAGAAAATAGAATTTAGGGTAAAATAAACAGACATGTAGTCAACATTCTTAACTGTACGGAAATGTAGGAGAGTCATGACTTTGTTCAAACTTTAGAGAAAATGGAATGAAAATGAAAAAGTTTATGCATGGGTAATTCATAAAAATGAGAAAATAATTCCCTATCTGAGGTGAATAGCAATAGCACTGTCCCGAAAAAACATTTCGCCAAAACACAAAATGAGAATTTGATCTGTTTTTCTACTCAACTCAATCAATAAAATTATATTCTACTTTCAACTATATGTTGTAAGCGTAACTTAAGGATTTTGCGGGAGAAAGCAATAAATCTAGACTATACATTTTACGTGTAACATGGAAATGAATATTTCTTATCAATTGACAACATGGAACTTTATGAATAGAAAACCGTAAATCAGCTATGAGAGAAAGTGGTTTTAATTTCCTAATATCTGATTCCGTAAAACCACTCAGACATTGAAGATCACTTTTATATGCACGAATTACCACACATTTGAAGTTCAAATTATTTACAAACATCGATCATTTTTAAAGTACACATGAAAAGAAGAGTACAAGAGAGATGCCAAACTCGGAAATACTTAGCCACTAAATCAGACTCTACCATTTCAAAACAAAGCATCCCAGAAGTAGAATTCCACATTGCCAGATTTTAAATTCAAAAATAGAATGGTAAAGAGAAGAATTAGAAATAAACGAAGTAAACAGGCATGTAGTTAACACTCTAAATTATATAGAAATGCAAGAAAATCTGACACTTTATTCAAATTTTAGAGAGAAATCAGATGGAATTAATACGAGCAGACGGACATTTCAAAACAGTTTAACCTTTCTCCTGTGAGCATAAACAAAAGATCTCAAGACCAAAATGCCACCACAAAAAAATAAACGAATGTGTTATGCTATCCCTAACAAAAAGAAAAACGTGAAATAAAAAAATTGCTGTAATTCCACATCAATAAATTAGTCCAAATTCAAAAAACTTAGAAATATTTCAAAACTTAATGGATTCGCATAACCAGGGAAATATTTTCTCCCTCCTAATTGGTTGAGTTTTATTTACTTAGATAAAAGATTTGAAAACATTGATCTTAGATTGCGACTGTTTTTCCATGACATCATTCAGGCCACTATTGTACTTTGTTTTTTCAACTTCCTGAATAACGTGTTATATGAGCTTATAGTTGAAGGACAACTGAAATAGCTTTTCTCAACTTGCAGCTACAAAAATGCGGTTTTCTCCATTGTAAGCCCACCGTAGAGTTCTTGCGATAGCCATCATAAAATAAATGTTAGATAACTGCTAACGGTCATAGATAACGAAATAAAACTAACTGATAAATCAAATTGGCCCCCACGTGATTAGTAACATCATATACAAAATATAGCTTTGGTTTATTGGTACCTTAGTAATCTCAACGTCAGGGAAACCATATGATTGTTGTGTAAACAAATAACATAACAAAACATTTTGGCATTATGACGTCATGATCTAATGGACCAAAACAAGCCACGTGGGGACCAGTGAGAGATCACGTGGGGGCTAATATCGTCACAACCAATTCGAATATTGCTTATTAAGCAGCTATAACGATCATTAGAGTGAAATAGTTTTCACACTACTGATGAGAAAACATGTCAAAATACATCTATCAAAAAATTATATTGATTCCTTTAGGTTAAAAATACCATTTCATATCTGCTTTAAATGGTTCTTATATCTTTAAGGTAATCAAAGTAAATAAAAAAAATTCTCCCATATCCTTAAGGTAGAACATGCACTCTATATCTCTCTAAAATTTGTGTCTGATTTTCTTGCATTTCTGTACAATTTAGAGTGTTAGCTACATGCCCATGTACTTAATTCCTTGCTGATTCCTCTCATTTCTCTCTAAAATTTGAATAAACTGTTTGATTTTCTTGCATTTCTGCACAATTTAGAGTGTTAACTACATGCCTGTTTACTTTATTCCTTGCTAATTCCAGTGGCATAGGAACAATGTACGCCAATGCGTAGTGTTGAAAAAGGCTTAGGGTGTATTTTCCTACGATCGCGGTGCAAGTGAAATTTATACGGTTGTGTAATATTCAAATTTTTTACACAATGGTATTTCACACATACTATTGTGGTATAAGCACAATCGAGCTAATTTTTAGGATTAAAATCATGCGCGCGGTCAAAAACCATGTACAAAAATGCAGCCTTAATAATTTCCCAACGTTTTTCGGTCATATTTTTAATTCATGAGGAAATTTCTGAGGGAGAGGGAGATGTAAGGCTTGGTTGATTTTACTTCTTTTAAGTGCACTTATTAAAAGGCCATAGTTTTTATATTTCCGAATTTTTTGACATTAGAATTCCACATCGCCTAAAAACGTTAATTGAATAAATATGATGGATCGTATTTTCTAATGTACCAAAATGCTGAAATAATTCAATAATAACAATGCTATTAAAGTAGAGAACTTGTGTAAATATTATCAAAATGTTACATAAATTTTTGTATTTTTCTGACGACTCCGAGGTCTGTGGGGATGTAGAATTCTAATGTCAATAAATTCGGATATAACAACTATTGCTGGAATTCATGTCAGCTACTGCTCATGTATGTTTAATTTAATAGTGCACCGAAAATCACCCTTGCCTTATGCCTCTCTCAAACAATTCTTATGAATTTTAAGACACCCTACTGTTCCAAATGAAATCTGTTACCTGAATTTCATTTCGCAAACCTGCGTATATCGTGTTACATATTTGACATTTTCTTTAAATCATATCAAAGATCGGCTTTCCATCGTGATTATTAATAACGAAAAAAATTTGAACATTTAAAGAACATTACTAGAATAAATTATAATAAAAATGACGTTTTACAAGCATAAAATAGTACTAGGTGTTCTGATATAGGTAGGAGATTTGACACAATTTTCTCAAATTTATTTGCGTGCGAAGTGTTGAATTTACACTTTCCTACACCCCTGAATCCAACAATTCCTCTTTTTTTGAAGTTTTGGAACACAACCACCACAAGCATGAACTTATTTTACTTACTGTTTTTTCGTTACTGCAATAATGACTGCGTGTTCACTTGACTTCGTAGCTTTCAGTGATCTTGAATAAAAAAAAAAAAAAATTAATACACATCAAATTTTAAGTTACACAATATTTTTCTTACATCTTATATGTTATATAATATATATTATTATTAAATCAAATAAACAGTCCAAAATAATGATGCCATTAAGATAATTATTTCTAATCATTTTATAAGAAATCATATTAGTAACTTCAATAACCTCCTTAATTTACAAATTCTTACGATTCTTTATCAATTATAACAAGTACATATATTTTCCCTGTGATATTCCCAAACTGAATAATTTGTTCCTCATAACACAAGAACCCACAAGGCATTTAGGCAAAATATCACCACCTGCCATTTGTTACAGACGCCAACCACTGAACACTGTCCCCAACAATATGTCTCAAGTTCTGGTGGTGACATAATACATGTCAGTTCACCCAGAATGCATTCTCATACTCAGATCATCTCTGACCCTTGCAATTATTAGCTTTCTAGAAAGGCATTGATAGAAGGTTCAGTGCTCTCTCACGATGCATAGAATGACAGAATTCATATTGAGGGCTTATGACTGGTCAAATTTGACAAGTTTCAGATTTTCGCTGGCAGTTCTGCTAATTGGTTCCATCAGTTCAATCCAAAATATCTGCCAGTTAAGACGGATTCATTGACCCTTTATACCCTTGACAGGGGGTTTTAGCCCTTGATCATATCACAATTTCAAAGTTTTTGAATCAACATTTATTCAGCTAAATGCCCATGGTCTGGAATATAAATAAACAAACAATTCAAGGAAGAATCTATGAATGGATTCAACGAATGAAATCCAAAAAGTATCTAAGAAGTAGCCCATGTATTAGAACATATAACTTAATCTTTACTAAACACCCATGGGCTACAATTGAAAACTAAATAAAATATATATACCGGCACAGAGCCTCAGGATCAAAGGACTTGGAATGTCTGGTATCTATGATGATGACATCATACTGCTTTTCAAGACACGCCTCCATGACACTTTCTGTATTATGTGCAATGTTACATTTAAATCCCGCCTTATCGCAAGCCCACCAGAAACCATCACTCTGTGAGTCTTCTTTGGAAAAAACTAGCAATACCTGAAATAAAGGATATCATATTTATTCGATGGTTATCTTATTTATTCAATGGATAACTTATCTATCATTGTTTTCACCAAATTTAATTTGACGTATCGGTTTTTATTTCGTCCAAACTTCTCGAAAGTCTATGAAAAATAAACTAGCCTCAGTTAGATTTTAAATAATATTCAATTAATAGCACATTTATATGCAAAGGATATCGGATTAATTTAAGAGATATCATACTTTTACAATGGATATTGCATTTATCTTATGGACATCATATTTATATAATGGATACTTCATTTACAGAATAGACAAATTTATATTCTTGAAGATTGTACAATGGATAACTTTTATAGTCTGGATATCATTTGATATAAAAAAGGTAAACATGGGATAAATAGAAATACTCTATAACTTTTCATTGATATTATTTTTATCATAACTCATCAATGACTATAAATCAGAGGATGTCATATTCACATACATAAACAATGGATATCACATTTATACAACTATCACTCTCATTGGATATCAACTAATAACAGAAGATATGCTATTTATTCAATGATGAAAAATCGTGAACAATACACTGTACATAGTAAACTTGCAACAATCTATAATGTTAAAATCCTATGTTTACTGCAAGTCTTATTATATAGTGGACTTGCAACAATCTATAATGTTAAAATCCTATGTTTACTGCAAGTCTGATTATATAGTGGACTTGCAACAATCTATAATGTTAAAATCCTATGTTTACTGCAAGTCTTATTATATAGTGGACTTGCAACAATCTATAATGTTAAAATCCTATGTTTACTGCAAGTCTTATTATATAGTGGACTTGCAACAATCTATAATGTAAAAATCCTATGTTTACTGCAAGTCTGATTATATAGTGGACTTGCAACAATCTATAATGTTAAAATCCTATGTTTACTGCATGTCTGATTATATAGTGAACTTGCAACAATCTATAATGTTAAAACCCTATGTTTACTGCAAGTCTGATTATATAGTGGACTTGCAACAATCTATAATGTTAAAATCCTATGTTTACTGCAAGTCTGATTATATAGTAGACTTGCAACAACTATAATGCTAAAATCCTATGTTTACTGCAAGTCTGATTATATAGTGGACTTGCAACAATCTATAATGCTAAAATCCTATGTTTACTGCAAGCCTGATTATACAGTGGACTTGCAACAATCTTTAATGTTGAAATCCTTTTGTTTACTGCAAGCCTGATTAATATAGTGGACTTGCAACAATCTATAATGTTCAAATATTGTATTTATTACAAGCCCTCGAAAATACCATATATGGAGCTAATAAGATGCGAATCATGTTTTGTAAACTACACAATAAAAATGAAGGGATATTGCTTATTGTGGAGCAAGGAAAGCTTATGGCATGATTTATAATCCCGTTCCCAAAAAAAATTTTAATGGTCACATTTTGAAATATAACATCAAAGAGACAAGAGTGGAATTAGCAAGGAATAAAGTAAATAGATATCTAAATTGCATAGTAATGCTACAATATTGAGTATGTCATTCATATTTTTCAAGAGACATTTGATGGAATTTGCTGGAAAGGACAATTTTATGGCTGGGTTAGTTAAACTAGATACTGAATTCCTCAAAACCAATTCCTGGATAGTGATCAAATTTTGGATATCAAGATGTTCCTTTTTTCATGTATGGTCATTATATTTCTTATATATTCTCTTATCTCTCGTCTTAGAAGAAATCTTTTTCTCAAGGCATTTATTGACTTTGTGAGATATATTGCAATGCATATTACTTCAGCTTGGGCTATATTGCTATTTTACAGCAGCCTGAGTAATATAACATCGGTCATGTTATAAAATAAGAAATAAAGAGAAAAAGAGTGGAATTAGCAAGGAATAAAGTGAACAGGCATGTAGTCAACACTCTAAATTGTATAAAAATGCAAGAAAATCAGACACTTCATTCAAATTTAAGAGAGAATTGAGAGGAATAAGCATGAGCAGACGGACATTTACTGCCTTCAAATATACTATACCACAGGGAATAATCTATCTTCTAGGCTCATCAGATTTGAAATTGCTATTTGCTCATTCTTGGAGAAGCATGGAATTATGATGTCACTCTGATTCTCATAAACAGGGTATATTTCCCTCTGACTTTTACAAACGATTTAGTTTTTGAGTGTGAATTGAAAATAAAGGAAAACAAATGCCACATTGACTTTGAGGAAAATATATGCAACCCCTATAAGATACACAGGCCCTATGACAATAAAATAGAAAATAGGCACTATGCCATCCTGACTATAAGGTAAATAGGCACTTATAATGCCATCCTGACTATAAGGAAAAAAATGGGTACTATGCCATCCTGACTCTAAGGTAAATAGGCACAATGCCACATTGACTATATAAGGTAAATGGGTACTTGCCACTCTGACTATAAGCAGGGGTTTCTTTAGTAACAGGCAATTTTCACCGATTGTTTTCACAAAATCGCCTGTTGTTTTTAGGGACTTTTCAACTTTTCCATGTTAATTAATGATTTCCATTAATTTTGCCTGTTGTTTTCATTTATTTAGCCTGAAATTCTAGTGAAACCAGTAATAAGGTAAATAGGCACTATGCCACCCTGACTATAAAATAAATAGGCACTAAATAGGCATGAAGTACTTTAGTACATGTACTGTCCATTAGTATTGGATTAACATTTACAACATTTTTGAATTTTAGAATGAAGGTCATAGGTCCAATGACACAAAATATAAAGATGCCCAGGCAATGCCCTATTCTAAGACATTCATACAACACAACAACCAATATTAATACCTTTGTAATAGTATTAAAGTACTTTTTCTTTTCAAATTGAACATTTAGAGTGAACTTTAATTGATAGCTGGGTGATAGTTTATCAGCTATAAGGGTTTATCAATAGTTAGCATGCACGCTAGTAATGTCAATATAAGATACATGTACCTTAAAATTAAGATCTTATTCTTTAATACATATAAGAAAATAATAATTCTTTAAACATAATATTGCTCAATATCACACTCGGCCAATCAGAATACAGTATACCCATTCTATATTTTACAATAGATGCATGGTTAGAGTTGGTGAAGTAAACTGTGATAAGGGGAAAATGCTGACCTTGTGTGAAGAAATATAACTACAGTGAAACCTGTCTTAGTGAACAATTCTCTCAAGTAAACACCTCTCTCTAGTGAACACCTGTCTCTAGTAAACACCTCTCTCAAGTGAACACTTCTCTCTAGTAAACACCTTTCTAGTGAGCACCTCTCTCTAGTTAACACCTCTCTCTAGTGAACACCTCTCTCTAGTTAACACCTTTCCTCTGGACAGATGGAGGATTCAAATATAATAGATACATTTTCTGTATGACAATATCTAATATGTAATATACATTTCAGAGAAGCTGTCAGAGAAGCTACTAAAAGCGACAATACATGTACTTTAAAAGTGAAATGTGACAATTTCAAAATGTGACAGACTAAAGGGCAACTCCCGTCATAGACTATCAGGTGCCTCTTGTATATTTGACTTTCATCTCTTTTGTTCCGTTTGTTTTTATTGACTAAGAAATGCGAAACTACTGTCAGATCTAACGCATTGTTCTGATACTTCTTTAGTTACAATATGCCAATAAAACTTGTAGAAATTCCCTAAAGCCTATTCGTTCTAAGGTCAAAATATATCAATTTAATTTGTTGAATATACATATTGTTCAATATATGGGACTATAAGCTCATAATAATGGCATTTCTTATCGCTAATGCAAAAGTCACTCTGTGTATAACAAAAAATGAAAACATCATTGATTTTTTGGGATTGTCTCCAAGAACAGTTGGTTGGTTCAGGCAATGCCTCAGTCGCACTTGATCTGTGGCGACTTTAAAGCAGCGCCATAGCTTCCCAAAATCGAGAGAAATATGCAGCAGTATGATGTAGATTTTCTATATTGGTTTTGTGAAGCTTCAACTGCCGTACACCCACCCTGGAGCAAAGTGCCTGAGGCTTTAGATAACTGTGATGGCAAAGTAAAGTATGCCACATCGACCATATCCCATTGTCTCCTGTAAGAGATCTCTCTCAGCCAGATGTCACTCTCTACCATTCATCTAGTCTCCCATCCTAAATTACGGCCCTGGAGGCCGTTTCTCGAATCTTATCGTTATTAACGAATCGTTAATAGCGAATCTTGGATTCGTTTCTATAGACACCGCATCATGGATAACGAATAACTCGTTAAAAACCATGATGTCATCGCGAATCGTTAACTTTTGAGAAACGGAAAAATCTTCATCAACAATTGAATTAACGATTCGTTAATAACGAAACTTTCCAGAAACAGCCCCCTAGCTCACAACCTCTCATTCTCTTTCCCCCTAAGTCTACCTACAAGCCACTGTGACCCCCCCCCCCTCTCCCACTACTTGATCACCAGCGGAGTCAGATCCCCCTGAACAGGAGGTGGTAATTAGAATATAAGAGGGGCTACTAACTTGGATTGAAAAGACAGATCAGTTCTACTACTTTGATTATGAGAGAAAAATGTAAGATGCTTCAAATCTGACAAGATATTGGCCTTTAATGCATATAATCAGTGAAAAAAGGCGCCTGTGGAATATCACTTTTATGTCTTCTGGAGGAATAAACATTATATTGCCAGAAGATAAGATTTGATCCTGAATGTTGTTTGGTTATCTATTTGTTTTCTGGTTGTTAGGTTTATACTAACATAAAATATATGTATCAAAAGATATGAGAACATACCAAAAGAAAGAAGCAAATCCACCAATAGAAAAATAGGTTCACCGACAAAAAGAAGCATCAGCCAACAGAAAAGGGAATCACCAATACAAAAGATACGCACCAATAGAAAAAATGTTCACCAATGGAAAGAAGTATGTATCAACAGAAATAAGTATGTACTAATGGAAAGATGCATGCACAAATATAAAACATATGAACAGAGAGAAGCGTGTACCAACAGAAAGAAGCGTGCACCAAAAGAAAGAAGCGTGTACCAACAGAAACAGGGGCATTCGAAAAAAGAAAGATTTTATGATAAAAATGTACCAACAGAAAAATTTTATGGTTTCACTAAACAAACATTAGCCAAAAATAAATAATACGAGATGACAAAGTTACCTTTCATGTGACAAATCAAGGTCAAGTGATATCTTCAAAAATTAAGGAGCCCCTCTCGATTTTAACAACTCTCGATATATATCACTTTCGCGAAATAATCATTTGATTGTTATAGCCTCATTGCAGTACATGTTCTTTTCAATAATATATTGATACATATCGTTGTGACCTTTTCGAAAAAGCAGATATATTATTTGTGTGTTAAGAAAATCGTTGCAATATTGATTATTTTCTTGTTTATTAGAATACAAGTTGAGGTTTCAGGCGAATAAAAGTACAAATAAATGTCATGCTTTTTCTACTCCATTTCTCTCTAAAATTTGAATAAAGTGTCAGATTTTCTTGCATTTCTATACAATTTAGAGTGTTGACTGCATGTCTGTTTACTTTATTCCTTGCTGATTTCACTCTTTTCAACTCTATTTTCTATTTTCAAACACAAGTGTTGTTTTTCTATTTGGCTCATTCAAATCCATGCATTATGTACAAGAATCACATGTTTTACATATGAGATAATTGCATTGTAAGTTCACAACTTGTGTCTAAATTTTTCTTGTCATCAATCTAGAATCAGTAAATCCTCTAGAAAATTAGAATAAAGTATCCGACTTTTTAGCATTTCTATACAATTTAGAATCTCATCTACAAACCTTTTTCAGTAATTCCTAAACTCCGAAAATACTTCAATTTAAATTTTTTTAATTTCAAAACATGACCCGGTGATATTTTCATCGCAGGCATTAATATTTACTCGCTGATTGATTATATGTATCGACCAACCACAGTTTGTTTATCTCATCACTCACAAGCCGGACCTAACATTGTTCGCATTTTCTACTTGTCAATAATTTTCGTAACAGCGAGTGCAAGGTTATTAACTGCAATTTAGTGCATAGAAACAAATCTGTTTTTGAAAGAAATAAAATTCCAAATATTCAAACTATCAAGACTATCAACATTATAGTAACCCCAAAGGTTGTAAAAATATAATAACCCCTGATATATTATCAAATCAACAACAAATAGAATTCTTAATTAGACTCTTGAACCCATATTAGACCTGTATGGCCATAATCTAGATCTCTGAAAATATATACATGTACTAAAAAGCCTAGAATCAGTCGACCTCTTGTGTCATATCAAACGGGGTAAGACAAAGAGTCGTTTCTGAATTCTCCCCTTTTAACTTTAATTCTTGGTATATTTTTATTATTATTAGGGAGAGGATTGGTCAGATTGGCTTAATGCGAAACATTTTTTTGTATTCATAGTACCATGTTAGTGAGATAGTAAAACTGGATTGTTTCGTAATGCAATTTTGCTTTGATCTTGCCTTGGGGATATAATTTGGGTAAACTGACATTTCAAAGCCATAAAAGGGCATACTGATCTGGTGGACTTAAAAGGCCATAAAAGGGCATCTTTGAATTGAACCTATATATGAGTGAGTTCCACTTCAACCAAAAATGAGTGAGTTTCAATTCTACCCAAAAATAAGTGAGTTCCACTTCAACCAAAAATGAGTGAGTTTCAATTCTACCCAAAAATAAGTGAGTTCCACTTCAACCAAAAATGAGTGAGTTTCAATTCTACCCAAAAACAAGTGAATTCCACTTCAACCAATAAATGAGAGTTTTGATTCAACATTCAAATCAGTTAATTTTGATTCAACCCCTAACTGCTGTACAGTTTGACTCAAACCCCAAATGATTGACAGTTACAGCAACTGTAAATCCAAGATGCAATGCTTGATAAGATCTGCCTGGTGCAATATGTCTATATACAATGTCTGTATATACAAATATACACTTTTAGCCCAAATTTTAAACATTACCGGATCTCTTAATAGAAACTTATGTTCAGATTGTCTTTGGTATTTTGCCTGCTTTTTGGATAACAGGTTCCACGTGTCTACATGTTCTATCCGGGAATGCCCTTGCTATATGCTTTTTCTTATTATCATGGAATGGCATCAATTTCAAAATTAGAACTTTTTGTTAGAAAATGAGTCTCTATAACCAAGAGAGCAGCTTATCCTGAAGCTCACTGTTCCCATTCTAAGAGATAAATATCCTAAAACCTACACTGTACCAATATTTCAAGGGAGCAATATCCTAAAACCTTCACTGTCCCAATTTCAAGGGAGCAATATCCTAAAACCTACACTGTACCAATTTCAAGTGAGCAATATCCTAAAACCTTCACTGTCCCAATTTCAAGGGAGCAATATCCTAAAACCCTCACTGTCCCAATTTCAAGGGAGCAATATCCTAAAACCTACACTGTACCTATTTCAAGGGAGCAATATCCTAAAACCTTCACTGTCCCAATTTCAAGGGAGCAATATCCTAAAACCTACACTGTACCTATTTCAAGGGAGCAATATCCTAAAACCTTCACTGTCCCAATTTCAAGGGAGCAATATCCTAAAACCCTCACTGTCCCAATTTCAAGGGAGCAATATCCTAAAACCTACACTGTACCTATTTCAAGGGAGCAATATCCTAAAACCTTCACTGTCCCAATTTCAAGGGAGCAATATCCTAAAACCTACACTGTACCTATTTCAAGGGAGCAATATCCTAAAACCTACACTGTACCTATTTCAAGGGAGCAATATCCTAAAACCTATACTTATTTATTTTTGTCTCACAGCAGATTTCCATATATGAGGCTAAAATAACATTTCAAAAAACACTGCCCCAGCATTGCATGAAAGATATACTATTCCCATTTCAAGAGAGCAATATGTTTAAACTAACAATGTACCAATTTCAATAGTGCAATAATCTGAAACTCAACTATACCCATTTCAAGAAACAATATCATGAAATTCATTCAGTGCTAATGTGTTTGATTTCCTGGCATTTTTGCAACATGCCTGTTTACTGTATTCCTTTATGATTCCCATAATTTTTCTCTAAAATGAAAATAAATGGCCTGACTTTTAAACTGTTTTATCGATTCACTACATGCCTGTTTATTTTATTCTTTGCAATCATAATATATCTCATATTTTAAAACATTTGATTCCATGACATTTTTTCTGGGTGACCACATCGTTCAATTCAAATGGACTTACCGTCATTGGGATTTGCCGCAACCTCATTGGTCCAAACATTGCATCACTCTCCGAGCCCTGAAAGTACAAAAGAAACAAAATGTTATAAAATACATTGCAATATAAATGTATAAATTCATATAAAGTAAATTAAATCCATAAAATGACAGGTTTCCACTTAGAGTTGCTTTTCTTGCTAAGTTTCTTTTCAGTTTTTAGTCTCTCCCTTTGGCACCAACTGCCGAAAAACACCTTTCATAAAAATGTTTGAGACCATAACAATGTCACCCCATAAGTGGTGACATATTGTTATGGTCTCAAACATTTTTGAGACCATTTGAAAATATCAACCAAAAATCATTTTCACATTATATCACTTTTTTTGTCTTCTTGATATCTAAATATTATATAACTGTTCGCATACTGAACTAAGTTAATCCTGTATTTAATTTATTTCAATAAATTCCTTATGAAAATTGATAATCACCAGCTTTTATAACATGTTTAATCAAAATTTCTGTTGGAACAAATAAAAATCTGAGCTATGTTGTCTTAGATACACCCAATGCCATGGACGTTATATTGATATAATAATTCTACGTGTGTGTATATATTGGTTTATATGAACATAAACTGAAATATTAGTAAGTGTAAATTAGACCCCGGGAAGGAGGTATATATCCATATATAGATTCAAATTTCTAATAACATGATAGACCACCTGAATATATCAATTGTTGACACATATACAGTTGCTTCTGATAGTGAATTGGACATATTGCTTGTTTTAAGCGAATTGAAGGCGTGGAGAAGTGTTAATTATCACATATTGTAAAAGTTTTTATTCTATTTTCTAATGGTATGATTTTGCTTAATGCCTCGATCTCATAAGCTCAGATTCATCGACCAGAGCCCGCACAATTGAGTTTTTTGTTCAGAATTGCAGAATTAGAGCTTATGTGAGCTAGGCTTAAAAGTGAGCTTCAACTACACTTTTTGAATTTAGAGATAACCCTAATATGGTCATACGAGGATACAATGAATTTTAAGCTTTCATGAACACCGCAACATAATCTCTCACCACATTTTTTACAAACACAGATCACCTACCAACCAAAACCAACCACCATCCAAAAAAGCAGGAGACTATAACAATATAATACAACTTGTGGTAGTGACAGTGCTGGTGACATGAAAATTGAGGCCACAAAAAGGTTGGAGACTTTAACAATATGTTACGACTTGTGGTAGTGATGGTGGTGGTGACATGAAAATTGAGGTGATAAAAAGTTGGAGACTTTATACGACTTGTAGTAGTGACATAAAAATTGAGGCAGAAGTCTGAAAAATATCAAATGGACGAAGAAAATCATATGAAGTTTAGTGCCCATTAATTTCAATTTGATAATAAATTATATGTAAAGAGATGTCACTCAGTATGAAATGTACAAGAGGAAAGTGTAGTGAGTCTTGCTCAAGAAAAGCAAAATTTTGAAGAAAGGAGTACAAAAAACACAGGATGAAATACCCAGATCTTACACCAAGTCATACAAACAAAAATCTCAGAAAATCAAAAATTCATTGAATTTCTTTTTTTTGGGGGGGTGAAATATAATAAAACTAACCCAAATTGAAGTTTTAATCATAGGTATAGGAATACTTGATTGTCAAGTGTTTTGACAAAATAATTCAATTCTTAAGATGTCGATAATCTCAAATATGATAACTAGTATAAAACAAAGTTTACCGAAATCATGGGCTTTCAACTAGTTGAAAGCCCATGCCGAAATCAAGAAGGCATGGTCTTATCTTAATCCCTCTGTTTTATTAATTTGCTCATTGTCAAGTTTGAAATACAGGGTGTCATCTAGTTTTGGAATCACCACCAATTCAGTTTATAGGTTTCTTTGCAGAAAATAGTATTTGCTTAATGCACCCAAAACTTAAAATATAGAGAATTCGTGATTTGCAACTGATCACTCAAAAATGCAAGTTCATAATTTTTTTTTCTTTGTATTTACCAAATTTTTTCTTTGTACCGTATTATCGCCTATTTGCGCACAGTGCGCTTGTTAAATTGAGATGACATACCATGGAATTGGAGAGAAATCAACCCAATAAAGTCCCAATAAGCGCACATATAAGTTATCATTTTGATTGGGCGATAATATGTGAAAATCAGAATTCGGAGCCTGGTTTCAAATGAATATTATCTTACTTACTGTTTTTTCATGCCAAATCATGTCTTGTGTCGTTTATTATGTTTTTAAAGGACCAACTATTGGTAAAATAAAGAAATATTGCGATATTTATCAGGTAAAAGTTTTGACTTTTATTTTATCGTCAAAATAACTACTGCGCATCAAAGTTTGCGCAGACCGGAAGTTGGATTTTCCTACCCGAAAATGAAATTTGGTGAGTTAAAAAATCGTTATTCTGTAAGTTTTCCTACTCTTTTGCCCTGATCACAAATGTTTGTCATGTTTCCAAAGTCGCATGTGCGCTTATAGGGGAGTGTGCGCCAATAGGCGATAATACGGTATTTACCAAATTTTTATTTTGTATTTACCAAATAAGCAAGCCAATATCACAATTTGATCCAAATTGGTTGATATTGAAGAATGGCCCCAAACAATGAATGTAAGACAAAACCATAACAAAACAATTAAGAAATTATCTTTTTACAAAACAAAACAATTAATTCTAGTCCTTTCTTTAGTAAGTAATAACAAAATAACAAAAACAATAAAGAAATTGTCTGTTATTATAACCTCCATAAGTTTTTTTACTACTACCTCACTAAGTTGCGCACACACAGAAACAATTGCTGGAATTACACCAGGCGTTTAAAGGTGCCTAAGGTTAAGCCCAGTTTGAAAATTAGGATTGCTTACAGTTTTGCAAAATCGCTTTTCCAAAAATCTTAGAACCTTACAGTAGTCACTATAAAATGCCTTAAACTGTTAGGTGCTTTAGGAGGGTCAGTGTAATACTGATTGGTTTTTGTAAATTACTTTACCTGGGTTTTTACCATTTGCTCTAAACGAAATAAGACGTATTTCGAATGCTACACATTTGGGCCATCGCAAAAATACAGGAAATAATGGATGGGAGCCAAAAAGTCCAACAATAGGTCATCAAATTATATCGCAAAAATTGAAAGTAAGTTCACATGACTGGCAAACGTCTCGGTTATGCATTCTCTTCGATGCTAAAGGATCGATGTACACATCTGCTAGATATTCTCCATTTAGTGCATTGTTAAAAGTGCACAAAAGGCGTTTTAGAAATGACAGGTGTAATTCCAAAATAAAGGCGCTTTAGAAATGTCAGGGTGGCGATTTTGTAAAGCGCCTTCCACTAAGACATTTTAGCGTATTTTCTCGAGTAAGTCCAGCAAATGGTTACATTAAATACATTTTTTATTTACCTTTAAACTCCTCAATACCAGAGTATTTTTCTGTTTTGCTTGCCATATTTCTATCTCATACATGTTTATTTTGATGAAATTTGTGAACATATACCATGGTGGCATATAATCTTTGACAATTTACAGAAAGATGTATTAATTGTTTGAATGCTTGGAAGACCTATAACTATAAATGTTCATTCAAAATGGCTGCTCAAATTCAAAATGGCTGCTAAAGCAGCTAACTTATAGCATCAGAGATGCCACATGCAATTTTTTGGAAAACAGATGCACCTTGAGAAAGAATATGAATAATAGTTAACTGTTCTGACTTTTCACTGAATCCCAGAAAATCTTTTGTTAAGAACTCATGAAAGTTGTTTTTGTATTTTCTTCTGTACTCAATGTTAATATGATTCTTGCTGCAGCCATCTTGGAATCTTCAATCCAAATCCCAAAATATTGTTTCGTCTTCTAGCTTTTTTCTAATCAGATAAAAATGTTTCAATAAGAGCTCTAAGGTGGACAATTGTTCATGAGAAAAATTCACTGTGACCATGTCTCATGATTCGTGACAGATTTTTGCGTAGGCAATTTATGTGGCAGGTAAGATAAGAAATACTTCCTTATGTTATCATGTAACCTATGCTACAATTCTCCGTCTGCTCATGCTTATTTCACTCAATTTCTCTCTAAAATTTGAATAAAGTGTCTGATTTTCTTGCATTTCTATATAATCTAGAGTGTTAACTACATGCAAATTCACTTTATTTCTTGCTGGTTCCTTTCTTTCTTACTTTATTTTACAATTTAAAAACATAGCTACCATAGAACTTACTGACTGATTGTGAATAAGATAACAGGTTACTGTAAAGACAAATAAAGCATGGTTGAACAAGAAATTGCAAACACTTTTTCAGAATTTACTTTTACATTATAAAAAGAGAACTTCGCTATGTAACCCCCCCCCCCTCACTCTCACTTAGAGAAGAGAATAGGGAAGAATTTCATTGCTAGTCACCTATATAGAATGATTTAAGATAGTTTAGCATCTTATCCAAAAAGAGTAAGAGCATATTGAAAGGTGTTTGGATTAAAGAGGTGTTCTGATATACATATTTTTCAGTAGACTAGGACAGAGTATCATAGAAAGCATGTAAATATTATATATATATATATCTCGTATATCCCAGTATTAAATGTGAGATAGAAAAAAAACTTTATATCAAAATTGTGCTAAAAATCAGATACTATAATTATAAGATATAGTGTATAGTTAATTACACATAAAAATTGTTGAAAAATTTTGCCAAATTGAGGAGAGAAATCTTTAAGTAGGTGCATTTTAGGTGCAGTTGGTACACTTAGGTCATGGTATTTCTTTTTATTATCTAAATCTAAATCACAAAGAAAGCAGCTGAAGAAAGCCTGGTAACATTTATAGACCTATCAGTAAAATTAGAATTAGATTTCTGAGATAAATTCAAGGTTGGCATGCTCACTAGATTAATATATCATGTTAAAGGGACTTGCTTTCAAAATATTCATGGTCAATACTATTCTAGTAGATTATTTAGATGAATACATCATTTCAAGGGATCTGTTCTCAATTGTCAACTAATTCCTTTTATCATCTTAAAAAGATCTTATTCCCAATATATCAATGGTA